TTTGAGCATAAGCTTTCGTGAGCTACAGCTCACTTCATCGGATGAAGTGAGCTGTAGCTCACGAAAGCTTATGCTCAAATAAATTGGTTAGTCTCTAAGGTGCCACAAGTACTCCTTTTCTTTTTGCGAATACAGACTAACACGGCTGTTACTCTGAAACATCCACATTGCTATCTTTAGCCTGTTAGCTCAAGGAGAGCTACTGTGAGTCTGTCTGCCTTGGCTGGGAGGCACGTGCCCAGCTTCAGAGTTCTTCTATCAGGTCAATATGATTGTTGTTGCCAGTAAAGCACATAAATTCAGCAGCTGCTGAGATCTTGACTAGCAAAGGGTATGTTGTCCAGTGAGATGGGCATGGGGCTAAAAGCAAGGAATTCCTTAGTTCTAATCCTATAGCTTCTCCACAGACACTTTATCTGACTTTTGGGCAAGTCATTTCAGCTTGGATTTCCTAAGGGAGTTGGCTCCTTTGAAAATTCCAGACGTGATCTTTCTTTTTCCTAGTTTCTTCATGTGTAAATGGAAGTTAGTAATATGTCCCTACCTATTTCACAGGGGTAATGTGACTTTGACTGGAAACTCTTTGGGGCACAGTCAGTCGTTTTGATATATGTGTGTAAAGCACCTGGGACCCTGATCTTTGACTGGGGCCTCCAAATGCTATCAAAATACAACTGTTATAATAAATAGTAATCATATAATGTTCAAACCACACTTTGAACATGCAAAACACTATCTACATTCTGTGTTATTCTGCAACTTATAATTAATAATGAAGTACTGAAGATGGCACAATGTGAATCCATTCTGGTGGCGAAGATTTTAACAGGAGCACAAAATGGCATCTCTGGAATCTAGTGTCAAAATGCAAAGTAAAAGGTAACAGTAAATAACCATGAGCTGCTACAGTTCCCGTGTGAAAAATAGAAAAGGAACCATTCAAACTTTTTTTTATGGCATTGCCACTGGCACCAAGATGTGACCAGAGATAGACCCACAATTAAGCCCATATTCACAGGAATCTTGGATCCAAAGGGGGGAAATGTTTAACCACTCTCTCTAGGCTTGGGTTGCTTAAAAAGAAAAGTGACTTTTTATTTCAGTATCTGAACCCTTTAGGAAAAGGGCGCACATGAATACGAAAAAAAAATGTATCAAGCAAGACTGCCCTTTCAAAATCAAGTATATGCTTCAATTTGTATGCAGAAACATTGACATCTAGTGGTCAGTTAGTTTACTCACAGGTCTGAATATCCCCTGCACCAAGCCTTATTCCAGTTTCAAGTCAGAGAAGGCAGAATGGGATCAGGAATATTGAATATAAAACAGGTTAAACAACCATAAAACCAAACAAAAACATCGTGTTCATTTCTTGCCTAGAAGAAAGCTTTTCCCAAGTCTTTCCAAGCCTCTCCTGTAAGAGCTTCTGGAAACCATCTATTCTGCTGAACTTTCCATCTTCAGTGTTGACACAGCTACTCTGAGTTCACCTTCATAGCCCTTGTTCATAGAACGTTTAACTGTGTTTAACTGTATTATACCCCGTTATGTCTGTAAGTTCCATGGAGGGGGGATCCTGTTCTTTGTCGAGCACATCATGGCTTCTTAAAAATCATTTAGATAGCTTTTTGCACCCCTCTGTGTTGGTGTCTTCATAGCAGCCAGCAGTCTGCAGCTATGCCTCACACATGCCCTCCCTTCCTTTGTTAGCCATGATCTCTGCTACTGCTGAGCAAGCTTCCGAAGGGTCAGAAGTCAGATATGATTGGGGTATGTTCGGTTCTTAGGCCAGATCCTCAGCTGGGTCCACTGACTTCAGTGGAGCTACACCAATTTACACCAGCTGGGGACCTAGCTTCTTAAATCTGCAGAAGTAGGTTGGAAATCTTGAGAAGTGATTATCTATCATCTAGGTTCCTTGACTGAGTTCATCTTCATGGCATTTAAGTGTCTTACACAAATGATCAAAGTATCTAAAGATACTGCTGTGGCCCAGTCTGGATTCCTCACTCCTTCCCTTTAGGCCATCATAGTTAATTCTCTCTTCTTCCTTCTGTTTTCTCTCCCCTTATTCTACCTGCCCAGATTTCCTGTAAGGTTTCTGGTACTCTGTACCTCTCATTAGGCCAGGAACACCTCCAGAAGAGCACCCCATATCTTTCAGTTCAGTGTCCAGTCCCAGTCAGGACCAAGAATTGCAGATGCATGTGACAGGGAGTTTGGTTTAATAAAGTATTTGGAACTTTGGAACTCCAGGAAGGTTACATAGGGTTTGGTTTGCATTTCGGTGTCAGTGTGGGTTGACAGGTTTCAGAGTAACAGCCATGTTAGTCTGTATTCGCAAAAAGAAAAGGAGTACTTGTGGCACCTTAGAGACTCATCTTTATCCTGTTGTCTCATCCTCAGTGTGACCGAAGTTAATGAAAAGAACAGGAGTACTTGTGGCACCTTAGAGACTAACAAATTTATTTGAGCATAAGCTTTCGTGGGCTACAGCCCACTTTATCGGATGCATAGAATGGAACATATAGTAAGAAGATATTTATACATACAGAGAATATGAAAAGGTGGAAGTACCCATACCAACTGTAAGAGGCTAATTAATTAAGAGGAGCTATTATCAGCAGGGAAAAAAAAACTTTTGAAGTGATAATCAAGATGGACAGTTGACAAGAAGCTGTGAGGATACTTAACATGGGGAAATAGATTCAATTAGTGTAATGACCGAGCCATTCCCAGTCTCTGTTCAGTGTTATCTAGTTAATGGTATCTAGTTTGCATATTAATTCAAGTTCAGCAGCTTGTTGGAGTCTGTTTTTGAAGCTTTTCTGTTGCAAAATTGCCACCTTTAAGTATTGTTTCATATTCTCTGTGTATATATAAAGTCTGCTGCAGTTTCCACGGTATGCATCTGATGAAGTGAGCTGTAGCTCACGAAAGCTCATGCTCAAATAAATTGATTAGTCTCTAAGGTGCCACAAGTACTCCTTTTCTTTTTGCGAATACAGACTAACATGGCTGTTACTCTGAAACCTTTAAGTATGTCACTGAGTGATTAGAGAGGTTGAAGTGTTCTCCTACTGGTTTTTGAATGTTATGATTCCTGATGTCAGATTTCTGTCCGTTTATTCTTTTGTGTAGAAACTGTCTGGTTTGGCCAATGTACATGGCAGAGGAGCATTGCTGGCACATGCTGGCATATATCTATCTGAGGGATTGGAGCACTTGATTGTCACTTCAAAAGTTTTTTTCCCCTGCTGATAATAGCTCATCTTAAATAATTAGCTTTGTTTTTATAAAGATTAAATTATATCTGTGCTACTTATATGAGCCGATCCCTGAAACCCAGGGAAATCTGAATTGGCTTCTGATTAAACAGGGATCTATATTAAGCTCCTGTTCAGCCCACAGCACTGTGGTACAATGATACAAATTCAAATGTCCTACTGACCTTTAATGATGACATTCTGCGCTTAACAGGTCTGTTAATTATTTTATCTTTCATGAGTAAAATGTTAACACATCATAATATATTATATCACATACACCATTCTGATTGGTGATATAAAATATAATGAGAACCAATAAGATGATAATAAAATAATAATTTGTGATTATATTTACACAATACTGATGGATAATACTGGTCATATAAGACCAATTTCTTTCTACCAGTGTAAATTTGGGGTAATTCCAATGACTTCAGTGGATTTGCACTGGTGTAAATGAGAGCCAGTATAATGATAGGCCTGTGTAATGATATATAGAACAAGGTCTCCATTGAGACTTATATTACTATCTTCTTGTTTTAAGCACCTCTTTAAGTATGCAGTAAAGGACAAATATAGCTGTGCCTTCTTAGGTTGGGAGGTTTCCCTTGCGTTGGAAGTGGTGAGAATTTGGGGGACAGAGAAGGGGGTGCACGAAGAGGCACAAGACGTGTCCCTGCAAGAGGTCTTTAGACAAGACCGCACAATGAGATTTTAGAATCAGTATGGGGGTGTATGTGTGTTTAGAGCCAGAGGAATGCAACAGAGATGGCGTGCTATGGCCAAAGAGACTGGAATAGCAAACAGCTCCAGTGCTACTATCTGGCCTTAGGTGTAAGGATTCCTCCCTCCCATATCGGCCTAAGGCCCACCTGAAAGACTGAGGCTGGCTGCTGGGGAATGGATTTTCTCCTCATTAAATGGACTCTCACATATCACAGTGTAGCTGTAAGACATAGAATAGTAATATTCTTATCTCTCACGTTGTTTTAGCAGATGTCCTGGGTTCACCAGCTTATTTTTCAGTAACTTCAAGAAACCCTGTGACAAGGTATAAAGCATGCCAGCAGGTAAGGGACTGCTGGGTCCACATGGCTGGGCAGGGCTATAAAAGGAAAGGGGAAGCTGATGCAAAGGAAGCTCCCACAGGGTTAGTCTGTGTCCTCTCTCTTCCTAGCGGGCTGAGGCTGGAAAGGCCTCAGGTGGTTATTGCCCAATAGTCTGAGTTGAGCCCTAAGAAAGGTATGTGAAGTGACCAGTAGTCGGAACTTTTATTTCTCCTTCTCCAGCCAGTGAGCCCTGGTCTACACTAGGACTTTAGGTCGAATTTAGCAGCGTTAAATCGATGTAAACCTGCACCCGTCCACACGATGAAGCCCTTTATTTCGACTTAAAGGGCTCTTAAAATCGATTTCCTTACTCCACCCCTGACAAGTGGATTAGCGCTTAAATCGGCCTTGCCGGCTCGAATTTGGGGTACTGTGGACACAATTCGACGGTATTGGCCTCCGGGAGCTATCCCAGAGTGCTCCATTGTGACCGCTCTGGACAGCACTCTCAACTCAGATGCACTGGCCAGGTAGACAGGAAAAGAACCGCTAACTTTTGAATCTCATTTCCTGTTTGGCCAGCGTGGCAAGCTGCAGGTGACCATGCAGAGCTCATCAGCAGAGGTGACCATGATGGAGTCCCAGAATCGCAAAAGAGCTCCAGCGTGGACCAAATGGGAGGTACGGGATCTGATTGCTGTATGGGGAGAGGAATCCGTGCTATCAGAACTCCGTTCCAGTTTTCGAAATGCCAAAACCTTTGTCAAAATCTCCCAGGGCATGAAGGACAGAGGCCATAACAGGGACCCGAAGCAGTGCCGCATGAAACTTAAGGAGCTGAGGCAAGCCTACCAGAAAACCAGAGAGGCGAATGGCCGCTCCGTGTCAGAGCCCCAAACATGCCGCTTCTATGATGAGCTGCATGCCATTTTAGGGGGTTCAGCTACCACTACCCCAGCCGTGTTGTTTGACTCCTTCAATGGAGATGGAGGCAACACAGAAGCAGGTTTTGGGGATGAAGAAGATGATGATGATGATGATGAGGTTGTAGATAGCTCACAGCAAGCAAGCAGAGAAACCGGTTTTCCCAACAGCCAGGAACTGTTTCTCACCCTGGACCTGGAGCCAGTACCCCCTGAACCCATCCAAGGCTGCTTCCTGGACCCGGCAGGCGGAGAAGGGACCTCCGGTGAGTGTACCTTTTAAAATACTATACATGGTTTAAAAGCAAGCATGTGAAAAGATTACTTTGCCCTGGCATTCGCGGCTCTCCTGGATGTACTCCCAAAGCCTTTGCAAAAGGTTTCTGGGGAAGGCAGCCTTATTGCGTCCTCCATGGTAGGACACTTTACCACTCCAGACCAGTAACACGTACTCGGGAATCATTGTACAACAAAGCATTGCAGTGTATGTTTGCTGGCGTTCAAACAACATCCGTTCTTTATCTCTCTGTGTTATCCTCAGGAGAGTGAGATATAATTCATGGTCACCTGGTTGAAATAGAGTGCTTGTCTTCAGGGGACACTCAGAGGAGCCCGTTCCTGCTGGGCTGTTTGCCTGTGGCTAAACAGAAATGTTCCCCGCTGTTAGCCATGGGGAGGGGGGAGGGTTGAGGGGGTAGCCATGCGGTGGGGGGAGGCAAAATGCAACCTTGTAACGAAAGCACATGTGCTATGTATGTAATGTTAACAGCAAGGTTTATCCTGAAAGAGTGTAGCCACTGTTTTATAAAATGTGTCTTTTTAAATACCGCTGTCCCTTTTTTTTTCTCCACCAGCTGCATGTGTTTCAATGATCACAGGATCTTCTCCTTCCCAGAGGCTTGTGAAGATTAGAAAGAAAAAATAACGCACTCGAGATGAAATGTTCTCCGAGCTCATGCTGTCCTCCCGCACTGACAGAGCACAGACGAATGCGTGGAGGCAAATAATGTCAGAGTGCAGGAAAGCACAAAATGACCAGGAGGAGAGGTGGCGGGCTGAAGAGAGTAAGTGGCGGGCTGAAGACAGGGCTGAAGCTCAAATGTGGCGGCAGTGTGATGAGAGGAGGCAGGATTCAATGCTGAGGCTGCTGCAGGACCAAACCAGTATGCTCCAGTGTATGTTTGAGCTGCAGCAAAGGCAGCTGGAGCACAGACTGCCACTACAGCCCCTGTGTAACCAACCGCCCTCCTCCCCAAGTTCCATAGCCTCCACACCCAGACGCCCAAGAACGCGGTGTGGGGGCCACCGGCCAACCAGCCATTCCGCCACAGAGGATTGCCCAAAAAACAGAAGGCTGGCATTCAATAAATTTTAAAGTTGTAAACTTTTAAAGTGCTGTGTGGCATTTTCCTTCCGTCCTCCACCACCCCTCCTGAGCTACCTTGGTAGTCATCCCCCTATTTGTGTGATGAATGAATAAAGAATGCATGAATGTGAAGCAACAATGACTTTATTGCCCCTGCAAGCAGTGATCGAAGGGAGGAGGGGAGGGTGGTTAGCTTACAGGGAAGCAGAGTGAACCAAGGGGCGGGGGGTTTCATCAAGGAGAAACAAACAGAACTTTCACACTGTAGCCTGGCCAGTCATGAAACTGGTTTTCAAAGCTTCTCTGATGCGTACCGCGCCCTCCTGTGCTCTTCTAACCGCCCTGGTGTCTGGCTGCGCGTAACCAGCAGCCAGGTGATTTGCCTCAACCTCCCACCCCGCCATAAACGTCTCCCCCTTACTCTCACAGATATTGTGGAGCGCACAGCAAGCAGTAATAACAGTGGGAATATTGGTTTTGCTGAGGTCTAACCAAGTCAGTAAACTGCGCCAGCACGCTTTTAAACGTCCAAATGCACATTCTACCACCATTCTGCACTTGCTCAGTCTGTAGTTGAACAGCTCCTGACTACTGTCCAGGCTGCCTGTGTACGGCTTCATGAGCCATGGCATTAAGGGGTAGGCTGGGTCCCCAAGGATACATATAGGCATTTCAACATCCCCAACAGTTATTTTCTGGTCTGGGAATAAAGTCCCTTCCTGCAGCTTTAGAAACAGACCAGAGTTCCTGAAGATGCGAGCGTCATGTACCTTTCCCGGCCATCCCACGTTGATGTTGGTGAAACGTCCCTTGTGATCCACCAGAGCTTGCAGCACTATTGAAAAGTACCCCTTGTGGTTTATGTACTCGGCGGCTTGGTGCTCCGGTGCCAAGATAGGGATATGGGTTCCGTCTATGGCCCCACCACAGTTAGGGAATCCCATTGCAGCAAAGCCATCCACTATGACCTGCACATTTCCCAGGGTCACTGCCCTTGATATCAGCAGATCTTTGATTGTGTGGGCTACTTGCATCACAGCAGCCCCAACAGTAGATTTGCCCACTCCAAATTGATTCCCAACTGACCGGTAGCTGTCTGGCGTTGCAAGCTTCCACAGAGCTATCGCCACTCGCTTCTCAACTGTGAGGGCTGCTCTCATCTAGGTATTCATGCGCTTCAGGGCAGGGGAAAGCAAGTCACAAAGTTCCATGAAAGTGCCCTTACGCATGCGAAAGTTTTGCAGCCACTGGGAATCATCCCAGACCTGCAACACTATGCGGTTCCACCAGTCTGTGCTTGTTTCCCGAGCCCAGAATTGGCGTTACACAGCATGAACCTGCCCCATTAGCACCATGATGCATGCATTGGCAGGGCCCATGCTTTCAGAGAAATCTGTGTCCATGTTCTGATCACTCACGTGACCACGCTGACGTCGCCTCCTCGCCCGGTATTGTTTTGCCAGGTTCTGGTGCTGCATATACTGCTGGATAAGGCGTGTGGTGTTTAATGTGCTCCTAATTGCCAAAGTGAGCTGAGCGGCCTCCATGCTTGCCTTGGTATGGCGTCCGCACAGAAAAAAGGCGCAGAACGATTGTCTGCCGTTGCTCTGACGGAAGGAGGGGCGACTGACGACATGGCTTACAGGGTTGGCTTCAAGGAGCTAAAGTCAACAAAGGGGGTGGCTTTACATCAAGGAGTATTTCAGGCAGGACTTCACGGAGGGTTCCAATAAGAAATGGTGCACCTAAGTTATTGTTCTTATTGGAACAAGGGGGTTAGTCTGGCCTCTGATTGATACATGGCTAGATTTACCTCGCTGCACCTTCCCTGTGAGTGACTGCAGTGTGACCTAGAGGAATGAGTCCCCTAGACGGGGGGAGGAGGCAAATGAGTACAAAACAAATCTGGTCTATTTCTTGTTTTGATCCACTCCATCTATCTTTTACATCTTTGGCTGGCAGCAGACGGTGCAGAAGGACTGCATGCCATCCACATCTCATGGCTGCTCGGCAGAAGATGGTACAGTATGACTGCTAGCCATCCTCGTCTCTTGCCTGCCCGGCAGAAGATGGTACAATACGACTGCTAGCCATCCTCATCTCTTGCCTGCCTGGCAGAAGATGGTGCAATAGGACTGCTAGCAATCCGTATCGCCTGCCTGCTCACCATAAGACGGTTCAATAGGACTGACTGCAGGACTAAAGAGAATGACCTGGTCAAGTCACTCCAAATTTAGTCCCTGCGCCCATGTCTGCCCAGGCGCTCGTGGCCGATGTGGCCAGGAGCACCTCGGACACGACGATGACGGCTACCAGTCGTACTGCACCGTCTGCTGCCACAAGGCAAGGGGTTGCTGCTACTGTGTAGCAATGCCGTACCGCGTCTGCCAGCACCCAGGAGACATACGGTGATGGTTACCTGAGCGGGCTCCATGCTTGCCGTGCTATGGCGTCTGCACAGGTAACTCAGGAAAAAAGGCGCGAAACAATTGTCTGCCCTTGCTTTTTCACGGAGGGAGGGAGGGAACGGGGGCCTGACAATATGTACCCAGAACCACCCGCGACAATGTTTTAGCCCCATCAGGCATTGGGATCTCAACCCAGAATTCCAATGGGCAGCGGAGACTGCGGGAACTGTGGGATAGCTACCCACAGTGCAACGCTCCAGAAGTCGACTCTAGCCTCGGTACTGTGGAAGCACTCCGCCTAGTTAATGCACTTAATGCACTTAGAGCATTTTCTGTGGGGACACACACACTCGAATATATAAAAACGATTTCTAAAAAACCGACTTCTATAAATTCGACCTTATTCCGTAGTGTAGACATACCCTGAGTCTGCATGCTGGCTTACAGACCCCTTTCCTTGCTTCGTCGAGAGATCACTAGACGCCACCAGGAGGTTTCTCACAGCAGTGGAGCCTCCCATTTGATTTCCCAACCATCCAATAACACTGCCTGACTTTTTCAACGTTAGGGAATAAAATTGGTATGATCAGCATTCAGGATCTGAGGGTATGACGTGAGGAGAAAGGCACAGCACAAGCAGATTCACAATCAGCTTCTCCCTGAAAAGCAGCACAAATGCCTGTAGGGGAACAAACAGATGAGTGCCCCTGGTGAAGCACTTCCAGGTGGAAACAGCTCCTAGTTGATCCAGCTTACGCCTAAAAGCCTGGTTCCCAAGGATGCTCCACAATAGCAGGTGTTCACATATTCCTTATATATGTTCATGTGCCCAAGGGAAGGCAGTACATACTGTTCGTTCAGCAATAGTAAAGTAGCCTTACCGACTTTAAAGTATCTTTAGTGTCAGAACTTCCCAAGCATCTAACGGATCTGTCCTTTCCTTCCCTCTTTGAATTACCAAATTCTGCCCTCAGTTCCACTTGTGAAATCCTACTGAAAAATCCATGTGGCTGCATGTATGTAACTGAGGCCCCAAATGTATTATTTTTGTTTAGAAACTTCACTGAATGGTGGCATTGTCCCCAGCCAAAGACATATATCCAGTCTATACATTTCCTCTGTCATGCTTTGCCCCAATGAATAATATGCACAGTTCATATGGTAAATATTGAGCCACACCTGACTGATTTTATCAACACACATCGTCTGATTTCAGTGTAACAAAATCAAATGTCAGTGGATTTGATTTGAGCTTTTATTACAGCATAATAGGTGAAATAACTTGCGAGGCAACTAACATAAAAGGTTAATGCTGCATAAATGTTATGCTTCACTACAATATTATTAAACCTGTAGAAATTCTATTATCCAAACCCCCAAAGGGTGGCAGCCTTATCATGTTTTTATTTTCCATCCGTATTCATTCCTTTCTCGTAAAGCCTCCTCCTGCTTCAATATATACTAAGATAGTGCCCAAAATAAACATGTTCTAAGACAAGTTGATGATTTATTCTGCCCCATTCCTAAAATCTTGGGAGAAGCCCTAGATTCATGCATATAAACCATTAGCTTACCTATGGGTTGAAAATTTATGGTGATCTACATGAGTCAATTAAATTGTTTTAAACATGTATGATTATGAAAGAAAGCCTTGCTACATACTAAGAATGCTCAATATTCCAAAGACATTCAGCTCGATAGCTAGTATATAGCAGATGCTGGATGAACCTCATCCTGTTTAACATAATCATAGACCGTTTCCTCTTAAATGCACCTGGGGAGATCTGGAAAAGGAGTGGGGAAATATTGTTAAAACACAGAAAGATATGTTGACAATATTAAGAACTTACACAGTGCTTCACATCTTCTAAGTGATGTACAAACAGTAATCTTCACAATACCCCCATACTGGGAACAAGAGTAAAATTGGGCCAGCTGCTACATTTTTTGGATGCTGCCATCTTATGTCCCAGAAGCTAAGCTTCTGGGGGGGGTTATTTGTTTTTTTTTTTAAAGGGCCAGATCTTCTGCTTTTGTAAGTTGGTGTTTTTCCACTGAAGGTCCAGATTTTCAAAGGTATTTAGGCACCTACAAATGCATATGTTCAGCAGCCTAGTGAGATTTTACGGGTTCGGTGGCTAACTCCCACCGAACTCAGCAAGAGTCAGGCACTTTTGAAAATCCCACTTGGTGCTTTTTGAGGCACCAAAATACCTTTGAAAATCTGATCCTAAGCCTATGTCTACACTGCAGCCTATGTCGGCATAACTTATGGCAAAGAGTCCTGTGGCACCTTATAGTCTAACAGACGTATTGGAGCATAAGCTTTCGTGGGTGAATACCCACTTTGTCGGATGCATGTAGTGGAAATTTCCAGAGGCAGGTATAAATATGTAAGCAAGAATCAGGCTAGGGATAACGAGATTAGTTCAATCAGGGAGGATGAGGCCCTCTTCTAGCAATTGAGGTGTGAACACCAAGGGAGGAGAAACCTGTAGGAGAACACTTCAACCTCCCTGGACACACAATAGCAGATTTAAAGGTAGCCATCCTGCAGCAAAAAAACTTCAGGACCAGACTTCAAAGAGAAACTGCTGAGCTTCAGTTCATTTGAAAATTTGACACCATCAGCTCAGGATTAAACAAAGACTGTGACTGGCTTGCCAACTACAAAAGCAGTTTCTCCTCCCTTGGTGTTCACACCTCAACTACTAGAAGAGGGCCTCATCCTCCCTCGTTATCCCTAGCCTGATTCTGGCTTGCATATTTATACCTGCCTCTGGAAATTTCCACTACATGCATCCGCTGAAGTGGGTATTCACCCACTAAAGCTTATGCTCCAATACGTCTGTTAGTCTATAAGGTGCCGCAGGACTCTTTGCCGCTTTTACAGATCCAGACTAACATGGCTACCCCTCTGATACTTGGCATAACTTATGTCACTCATGGGTGTGAATAAACCACCCCCCTGGGCAGGGCCGGCTCTACCGTTTTTGCCGCCCCAAGCAGTGAAAAAAACTGTCGCTGGTGAATTGCCACCGCAGCCGGCGGAACGGAGAAGCTGTTGCCGAGTTGCCCCCCGCCGCGGCGGAAACACTGCCGCCCCTTTCTGACTGCCACCCCAAGCACCTGCTTGGGACGCTGGTGCCGGGAGCCGGCCCTGCCCCTGGGCAACATAAGTTCCACCGACATAAGCGTTCATGTTCACAGCGTTATGTCAGTGGGAGAGCACAATTGCTATGAAACGATGGTAGCTGAGAAGCCACAGAACAAGCCCAACTCTTTGCAGGGTCAGGCATATGAAGCAGAATCTCAGATACCACAGCGTGATTGTTGTTAAATGCCACCTTTTTAATGATGACCACTGTGAGTTTCATATTGCCACAGTCCAGGTGCCTAGTACTGTACAAATAATCACAAGGTATAAACAGATGAGCAGGACAAGGAGTGCAGGGAGATTGGGAGCTGTATTAATGAGTGCTGCTAGGCAGTCACCACCTTACTCCCAGGTGGTAGGGGATTATGTAGTCTAGTACTTTATTAGCATGATACAAATCATGCATAAACTCCTGTTCCCTCAGACATGCCTACTGTCCGCCTGTCCCTTCTCCTTTTTGTATCCTGTGCATTTGTAAGGAAGAGAGCAGGTGCAAAGAGAACATGAGACTGACTATAGCTCAGTATAGAGTTCAGAGTAGCAGCCGTGTTAGTCTGTATTTGCAAAAAGAAAAGGAGTACTTGTGGCACCTTAGAGACTAACAAATTTATTTGAGCAGAAGCTTTCGTGAGCTACAGCTCACTTCATCGGATGCATTCAGAGAATGGATATTCCTGTTTTTGTGTCTTTTTGTAACTTAAGGTTTTGCCTAGAGGGATTCTCTATGTTTTGAATTTGATTACCCTGTAAGGTATTTACCATCCTGATTTTACAGAGGTGATTCTTTTACTTTTTCTTCTATTAAAATTCTTCTTTTAAGAATCTGATTGCTTTTTCATTGTTCTTAAGATCCAAAGGTTTGGGTCTGTGTTCACCTATGCAAATTGGTGAGGATTTTTATCAATCCTTCCCCAGGAAAGGGGGTGTAGGGTTTGGGGAGGATTTTGGGAGGAAAGACGTTTCCAAGTGGGCTCTTTCCCGGTTATATATCTGTTAGACGCTTGGTGGTGGCAGCAATAAAGTACAAGGGCAAAAGGTAAAGTAGTTTGTACCTTGGGGAAGTTTTAACCTAAGCTGGTAAAAATAAGCTTAGGGGGTTTTCATGCAGGTCCCCACATCTGTACCCTAGAGTTCAGAGTGGGGAAGGAACCTTGACATGCATAGAGTTGTATGACTAGTGAATAACCTTATTTACACCCATGTCTTGCCTCCACTAACACTTGCTGCAGAATGCTGCTCTCTGCACCAAGATCTGTATGATCAGAGCCTTTGTGTGAACTGAGGTATGTACAATTCTGTGCTATAAGGCAGCAGAGCAGTTGTGGTGTCCAGAAGATTTTAAGTGTATGCTCGATTATTTCAGCTTTAACTTGCACCCTGGATATTAACCATTGAATAATTTACCAAGGCTTGTGGAGGATTCTCCATCACTGACAATTTTTCAATCAAGATAGGATGTTTTTCTAAATGATTTGCTCTAAACATTATTCTGGGAAAGTTCTCTGGCCTGTGCTATACAGGAGGTCAGACCAGATGATCACAGTGGTCCCTTCTGGCCTGAGAATCTATGAAAAAAATAACATTCTGTGCCAAATTCTCTGCAGGTGTGAACTGGCATAACTCCATTTACTTCAGTATACATCAGCAGAGAATTCGGACCTTTATTTTGAAGGAACTATGATGCTTCACAAAGCAGAACACATACCAATAACTGTTGAAAAAACAAACCCTTTAGACTGGATGAACTAAATTCCTGTTGCAATGCGGGTAGCAGTGTGGATTTAACCAGTGTTCAAGGAATTGTTCTTCTGATCTCTGCTCCAAGCGCTGGAGGTAAACCATGTGTTCCTGTTTAGGGGAAAGAAAACAGCATTAAACTTATGTATTCACTCAATTCTGGTGTAAACCCATTGAATTAAGTGGAATTTCACCCCTTACAAATCTCACCATTGTTACTGAATTCCATCAATAGTCAGGCTAGTAGGGGTGTTTGCTACATTATGGACCAAGTTTTTAAGGCAGACATTTGCATTAGTGCTAAGAGATAAATTTTCATGGACACTAATTTTTTTTAATACACACAATAAAGCTTCTGCTGGCGAAGGGGGTGGACATGGATTTTTGCAGGAACATCTACAGCAGTCTTCGTTGAAAATTGACTTCTACTAGTTTAAAACCATGGAATGATTCTGGGTCACTGAGCAGTTCTAAAGGGGATTCTGGTAAGTACCAGTCATTCACTGATCTTCCTTACGAGATAGATAAAATTCTATGTTTTTTCCATGTAAGTAAATAGAATGTGTTTGGTATGACACTCTCCCAGCCATTTAAAAGGGTTCTAGTTCACGGGTGTAAACAGCTTTCCTGCACACATCTCTCTGTTTTCATCGTTCGTTTGAACACTGCCAGCATACCAACATATATCATGCTGAACTTTTACATGGCACGTTCTTTACCATCACCTACTGTAACTCCATCTGGATATGGATCACCTAGCTAACAGAGAAACGCCAGCCCATCTTTCGTGTCACTTCTTCCCCATCCTGCGTGATTTTTGAGGTCTCACAAACCATTAGGGCTAGAAAGAATTGCCATATATCCCAGCTTTTCAGTAGTGTACTACCACTTGTGGTGGTCAATGAGATGTCATTCTTTGGGGTGGTCACTAGTCCCTTGGATGTGTTCAGTATCCCTTCCCCTCCAAAACACCCAAGGTCAATTATATGTGGCACTTTCACAGAGTTATCTGATTCTGTTTCTTCCTCAGTTTTATGCTTATAAACTTTATTCACTCTGAAATCCCAATTTGTTTTCTGAATGACCTTACAACGTATGTATATAAATAAATGTACAGTAGCAATGAATTGCTTACTTCCTTATTTGACAAAAGCACCATCTGTTATGTCATCAATAATTAGCACAGATCTATAGTGCTTCTTAGACTGTGATCCCTCAGCCAGCCGGCTGGCCTTCTCTAGAGAGGTATATGCTCCAAATCATTGTTTGACTCAAAGTACTTGGTATGTCCCTTTAAGCATATTATGATATGGGCCACTTATCAGTTCTGGTGGTGTCAGTCCTCTGCTTGAACTGAACATTACACCTTAAACCTAGGGCACTAGATTCAGGATGCAAGAGAGATGAGGTAACCATCAGAATATACTGGCCGAGATTTTTAAAGCTGCCTATGGGGTTTTCATACTCCAGTAGGTATCCAAATCCCTTATGCAGCATGGAAAACTCAGCCAATGTCATTATAAGTGGAGAAAGTAGGACCACAGAAGTAAAAAAATAATTCAGGTCTGGTGCAGCATCCTTGAAGTTAATAGGAGTTTTGTCATTGACCTCAATGGGCACAGGCCCTAAATAAGTAAAGGCAGAGGGGAAATGAGTCACATGGCAATAATCACAGGCACTACCAAAGTCCATTTCAGAAATAGGGGGCTTTTAAAAGTACCTTTGGAATTTACTTGCAACTGTCTTGAGAAAAAAATATTAGCCAACGATATCTGTGGTACTTTCTGCCAAAGTGGGGACTTCCTCAATCTGCTGATCCACTAAAGAACTAATCCATTTATACCACTCCCATTCCTGTGGTATCTGATCTCCAAGGGTCCAATACATCTCCTGCTGATGTTAATTAGAAGCCTCCCAGTCGACTTTATTGGGAACAGGAGCAGACTCCCTCATTTTCAGTAGTTCCCCAAAATAAAATCAAGCTATGCCCAGTGCATTTTCAGCATTCAGAAATGAAAACCCGCAGTAGTCATTAGATCTCTCCAAAGGCAAGCAGCCGAGAAATGGGTTACTTTCACAGCTGAATGTACTACTCCACAGCCACGTCTTCAATCAATCTGATGTGAGATACAAAAGCAGTGTCTTGCCAGTGGTGTAGCTACTAGTTTCTGTTATGAAATTTTAAATAAAATGTGTTTGAAAAAAATAGGTTTTGCACAAAATGAAGTGTGTGATATTTCCACACCTAAAGCCAGTCTACACTGGCTACAGTCATTGCGTTAGAACCTGCTTTGTAACCAGGGATTCTTAAACTTCATTGCACCGTGACCCCCTTCTCACAACAAAAATTAATGCATGACCCCGGGAGGGAGGACCAAAGCCTGAGCCCGCCTGAGCCCCACTGCCCCAGGGATGGGGGGGGCATAGCCAAAGTCCAAGGGCTTCAGCCCCGGCTTGGGGTCCTGTAGCCTGAGCCCTGCCAGCCAGGGCTGAAGGCTTGGCCATTGACTCTGGGTTGGGGGGCTTGGTCTTTGGCTTCAGTCCTGGGCAGTAGGGCTCGGGCTTTGGCCCCGGGCCCCAGCAAGTCTAATGCCAGCCCTGGTGACTCCATTAAAACAGGGTCACGACTCACTTTGGGGTCCCAATCCACAGTTTGAGAACCAAATCCAATGCTTTTTCCCCGCAGTAGCAGACAACACCTCAGGTCCTCTGTTTCCCCATTCCTCAATTGTCCCAACAGCTCCATGCAGGGTGGTAAAATATTTGCCTCGCTTTAATACTAACTCATATGTTCTTGGAGTGGTGAGGAGGGAATACAGAGACACCTGTCGTTAACTGCTATTTTTTTTTTTTTTTTTTTGGCTAGTTGTGGTGGTGGTGAGGGGAAAGGGCTCGTGTAAAAAAAAGAAAAAAAACTGCTGACAGGTTGTCAGCTGTCATTTAAACTAGGCACATTAAACGCCTCTCCTTAGGAAATGTAGTTACAATGGAAATGGCCAATAAACCTTTCCTTTAGCACCCTAAGTAAAATGCACTAATGAAATCAGTTATCGAATCCTGGCTGCTTTGGGAGTCAGACGAAGTACAGATCTTTTCCTAAGAGTCTATATTAAAGGTAAAATCCTTCCTATTTAATTTGCACTAGTTTTGATCGTCCATGAACATTTAAACTGGATGTATTTTCTCATTAGCACACATGCTCTGCAAAGGGATGGTTGATTAATTGCTCTTCAAAGCTTAGCACAACTAAAAGGACTGTAGAGAGACAAGGTGGGTGAGGTTAATAGCGTTTATTGGACCAACTTCTGTTGGTGAGAGAGACGAGCTATTGGGTTTACACAGAGCTCTTCTTCAGCCTCGACTGAGCATGAACTGGCTTAATCGATGTACCATTTACTTAAAATAAATTAACAGAGGTAGTTTAGCAAGTGTGTTCATCCCAGTGTAAATTTCATCCTGGTACACAGGACCACTTAAATTCTGTGGTCAGACTGTGCAAGAGGCTGCTAGAGATACCCAAGGGAACCTCTGCACTTCTTATGTGCAGAGAAGGGAAAATCTCCATTCTCAACATAGGCTGGTATGGAAAACTGATGAGAAAATGGGTTTTTTTCTTCTGGAAAATTTAAATTTTTCCTCAAAAACCAAAGATGGGGGGAGGTGAATGAAAAGTTGCCGTTTTCTGTGGACAAGATGGTTTTGTCTAAAAGCCAATGTTTCATTAACAGAAAAAGCTTCAACAGACAAATTTCAACCAGCCCTAATGATGTGGAAAGTGGCACTGGGGAGCGGGCAAGGCCAGACCAGCAGTGAACAGAGATCCACCGCTGTGTGGCTCCTATAACCTTAAGACCCACCCCTGCAAGTGAGGACAAGAGACTGCGGTCATTGTTTTAACTCATTACTGGGACTTGCTGTGAAGGCTGTGTGAATTTCACCTGCCTGGATCACAAGTTTTATGTAACATGCTGTTGTGCAGGAATTTATCCAATCCATTTTTTCTGACCTACCCTCTTCTATTTAATAGCCATCATGGTGTGGCTACGTATCATTTTAGGTGGAACCTGGGTTCCTGCTAATGTCCTGCAGCTGAATGAGGCTGTTTGACCGTAGTTTGAAACCAGTATAATCCTGGATGTTGAGGTCAGCTGTGGAGCCCCTGGCTAGTGTTTTTTGCTGCATTTTGGCATGTGGGGTACGGCTCCCATTGTCTCAGGTCAGTGGGGCCCTCTGATGTTGGAAGAGTCATTGTGTCAGGGTTGATGTGATGATGCCAACGTGGTAGACAAAGAGGAGAGTATGTAAGTGGGAGAGTTGTAAATTCAGCTATCCCTGACTGCCAGATGGGTTATTCCTGGCTAGTATGCACTAACCAGGGGAGAGAGGGAACTACCAGCCTTCCCCAACCACATGCTCTGTACACACTGGGCTCAGGTCTGCAAGGTGCTGAGCGCCCTCAACTCCCGCTGACATGAGGTGTACTCAGCATCTTGTCAGATTGAGCCCATTATGCTCATCGTATATGCATGGTCTATTGTTCGCTTTCTGGCTTCTGTGGCTTTTAGCCTCTTTACAACCATATAATTTTAACACCGTTTATTGACTTTGGAGAGAAATGTGCAGTAATTTTTAAATGCTGTAAGTAGCTTTTGAGAAGTCTGGAGCTATATCACACACCCTGTCAAAAGTAAGTAAAACGGAAGGCTCCTCTCTGTCTTTTTTTTTCTTTGTATTTTTAATGTGCTTAATAAGCAAATAATAGTAAATACTATATGAAAAAACTGAACGTTACTTTACTCTAACAATTAAAGAAGTGTATACTCTCCTAATGTATAACCCTATCCCTAGCGCTTGTAGAAAAAAATGTATGGATGCAGCTAAATGGATTTTAAAGTCAGTTCTGAGCTACCTAAATCTCCACACTGCCCACTGACACCTGCATCCCTCTGCCAACTTTCAGTGCAAAACGTAAAGCAAATGACCTTTTGTACTGCAGAGTTTAATTTTTCAGAAATAACATGATGAACTCAACATTTGTACAGACAAGAAGCTATCTTTTGGCCAATAATTGATTCTACGCTTTAGAATGATGACAGACGTAGATTATAAATAAGTCCCACACTTATGTGCAGTCCCGAGATATATTCATAATTCAGAGAATGCTATCCAACAGTAGTTTAAAGAGTGCAAAGGGGTTTACAAAATATTTCATTCCATTGTTTAAAAGAGTGGAGTTTGCAACCAGATAAACTGATTGAGTAGAATCCTAGCTATGCAAATACAACATTAAGCACAAAATACAATGAACTGTTTTAGTGTATTCATTTTTAAAGTAAAAATTAAAAATCACCCTCATTGGCTCATCAGGGAAACCTGCTTTTCTTGGTCTATCTTCACGACGGGTTCTCAGAATCTGTTTAGCTTCTTTTTCAGTCAAAATTGGTGAAGTATCTAAAAGGGGAGGGAGGAAGAAATAAAGTATGAAATTAACATGAAGTTAATATTTTATCTTTTGGGTCCATGGTGAAATGTTTTCAGGTCTGATTTTTGTCAATACACAAAGTGTTCTTTCATTACAGCCCCTTCCCAGGGGATATTGCATTCCAGAAGAGATGAGTGGAATTTTAAACCATTTTTATAATATACTCGTGTTTTTTATAAGCTAGTGCTACTGACAATATGCAAAACCTACTCAGAACACCATATTATTACAGTTCCTGCCCAAAATTAGAAAAATATAACTGCACCATCTACCTATTTAATATTTTTATTAATGCTGACAGTTTTTTGTTAAATGCATTTCTATGATGCACTATTTTTAGGGCTATTTTTCAAACCAAAGCTAACTAGTCTGACTTTTGTTGAAATAAGTCTTAAGACAAAGAAATTGCATTAATGGTGAAATAGTCAAGGACATCAAACATGTAGATTTATAAATGAAAACATCTTTTTTTTAATCAATAAATAACTCCAGGGTTGTGATACAGAGATAAAAATGCCTAGTATAGTACTATGATTGTTAAAAATAAAATTACTGGAAGGCTGCAGTATAACACGATATTTAATGTTATTATACTGTAACTGGTAAAAAAAAAGCAAATATTAAGATATTTAAATACAAGATTAAAACACTAATATTATTATCATATGCACTCCAGCTCTATGAATATTAGCCAGTTTGTTTTATATGAACTCCTACCTGTAAAAATGGTCAGGATGACCAAAATGAAGAGAAACACAAGTAACTTCTTCATTTTGATTCTGCTTTCTCTCAGCCTGTTCCAAAATGAATAACACTGACTGAGGTATTAGTCTACTTGAAGCAGCTACGTCAGTCACAGATGTTTGTTTATGCTTTGACTAATTTGACCTACAGTATGATTTTGACTTTGAAGACATCTGGGTCCAAGTTTTGAATATGGCTATTGTCAGCTTAAACATTCTCTGTTCCTGACCCAAAAAAAAATAGAAAAGCTTACTATTCCACTGGGGGTTTCAAAGTTATACTGGATATGTTAACTTTGTGGAGATAAAACACATTGCATCACATTCAGCATGGCAAGGTATGGTTTTAATAGCGTGATTCAAGAGAAATAATAATTAAAAAAATAAAACCACCAAGACTCCTGAGCCTTAATTTGGCAGGCAGCCATGTGTCAAAAGGTGCTGCATATATGACCACGAAAGCTTATGCTCTAATAAATTTGTTAGTCTCTAAGGTGCCACAAGTACTCCTGTTCTTTTTGAGGATACAGACTAACACGGCTTCTACTCTGAAACCTTATTCAAGCACAAAGCTGCATCTTAATACATTGGTTTAACTTTTGCCAAGCCGAACTACCATAGCTAAAGTATGGAGATTTCAGAGTAACAGCCGTGTTAGTCTGTATTCGCAAAAAGAAAAGGAGTACTTGTGGCACCTTAGAGACTAACCAATTTATCTGAGCATGAGCTTTCGTGAGCTACAGCTCACTTCATCGGATGCACACCGTGGAAACTGCAGCAGATATTATATACACACAGAGATCATGAAACAATACCTCCTCCCACCCCACTGTCCTGCTGGTAATAGCAAGACAGTGGAGTGGGAGGAGGTATTGTTTCATGATCTCTGTGTGTATGTAATATCTGCTGCAGTTTCCACGATGTGCATCCGATGAAGTGAGCTGTAGCTCACGAAAGCTCATGCTCAGATAAATTGGTTAGTCTCTAAGGTGCCACAAGTACTCCTTTTCTTTTTTTAAAGTATGGAGAGTTTATCAAATGGACAGAATCATGGAAATTAATATTCATTGAATTCTACTGTTTGCAGGGAAAGTCAGTAATGGACAAGATTGTAAATATCCTTGCTAGTGAATATAAAGTGATGGGAAGAGGACATGTCTGGCAGATGTATAGAGAACAATCAGATTTCTAAAAGAATTAGCTTACAGGTTTCTGCCTTTTTAAAAACTGAACTTTTGTACTTCCCCTGAAGTGCAGGGTGGCAGACATTCTGCACCATCCCCACAACACACAGTAGTTTTTAGGATTCAAAATAACTTTTCCCTTTGAAACTCCAGTGGGTGGAATGTAGTCAGAAAGCAACAACTCAGTTTAGAACTCAGGTAGGACTGCAATGATTAGCACCCATTCCAGAGGGAAGAGTACCACCAACTGAATCACCACCACCTTGCTTCCAGCAGCACCTGGATTTCACTTGGAGATCTCCCAACCAGGCTTGACACGTCTTAGCTTATAAAATCTGACTAGCATGGTGCAGCTGCCACTGTAAAGACTGACCCCACTCAAAATAGCCCGTGAAGAGAAGCAGTGAAATCTAGTGAACTAAGCATAGAGCTAGTAGCAAGGAATTCCTGGGTTCCACTCCCAACTCCTTCAGAGACCTGTTGTGTGGCTATGCTCAAAAAGGCCAACGTTTTCAAAAGTACCCACTCATTTTGAGTATCTTGATTTTTTCAGTGCACAACTTGAGAGACTTACAGCCTAACTTCCAATGGATGAATTACGTATTGTTAGGGCCCTACCAAATTCATGGCATGAAAAACGCGTCACGGACCATGAAATCTGGTCTTTTGTGTGCTTTTACTCTATGCTATACAGATTTCATGGGGAGAGACCAGCATTTCTCAAACTGGGGGTTCTCACCAAAAAGGGAGTTGCAGGGGGGTTGCGGTATTGCCACCCTTACTTCTTCGCTGCCTTCAGAGCTGGGTGACCAGAGAGTGGAAGCTGTGGGCTGGGCGCCTATCTCTGAAGGCAGTGCCCCACCAGCAATACAATACCAGGCCACCCTTACTTCTGTGCTGCTGCCTTCAGAGCTGGGCAGCCACAGAGGGGCAGCTGCTGACTGAGGATCCGGCTCGGAAGGCAGGAGCGCAGAAGTAAGGGTGGTAATACCAGACCATGCCATTCTTACCTCTGCACTGCTGCTGGCGGCAGCTCTGCCTTCAGAGCTGGGTTCCCGGCCTGCAGCCACCGCTCTCCAGCCACCCAGCTCTGAAGGCCGCGCCACCAGCAGCAGCAGTGCAGAAGTAAGGGTAGCAGTACCGCAACCCCTCCTACAATAACCTGGCGAACTCGCCACAACTCCTGTTTGGGTCAGGACCCCGACAATTACAGCACTGCGAAATTTCAGATTTAACTATCTGAAATAATGAAATTTATTATTTTTAAAATCCTATGACCACGAAATTGACCAAAATGGACCATGAATTTGGTAGGACCCTATGTATTGTATAGTGTGAACTTATGTAATTGTTAAGAATCTTTTTCTGGGTACTTCCCTTTTTGTTCTCTCTTATTGCCATTTTCCTTAATCTACAATAAAAGTCATTCAGGCTGAAAGTTTATGACAACACGTTTGCTTGGGTACAGACTGTTCAAAGAAAATCAGCTCAGATTCATATAAAGGACAATTCATGTTTAACAAATGTGATTTGGGGGAAATTTTTGACACAGTACCACCTAAAAGACTCTAAGGGGAGTTAGGCAGCCAGATGATATTGAACTTCAGTGGCAGTTAGGAGCCTAACTCCCTTAGGCTTGTTTTAAAATCCCAGCCTATAAGGGCAGTTTAACGTTAATGTGGTAAGTTTGGTATTAATAGGAGTGTTCTTGACTGAATACAAAATTGGCTTAGTTATCACAATCAAAGTAGTGAGAGATGGAAACTGATCAGATAAGATGAATGGCAAGCAGAGTACCACAGTCTACTTTTGTTCACACTGTAAACCTGGAGGAGGGAACATACATTTATATAGTCCTTGGCTGAGTACAAATTTGCAGAGGACAGAAAACTGAAAAGGCCAGTCAATGCCAAGAGAAGGATCAGATTTAAAGGGATCTAGATAGAATAGGGGCATAGGCTGACAAGATCATGCAAAGCAACATGGAAAAACTATGAAATAAAGAGGACAGAGATAATGAGTGGCAAAAAGGTTTAGAGTTAAATAATACACTACAATACACTAAGCAAGAAAAGGATTGGGGCCTGATAGTAGACATCAAATTATAAAATCACTGTCTAGTAGCAGTGAGGAAAACAGGCTACTTGGATTTATTAATGTAGACATATATCAGAAGAAAGCACATTGGAACAATGTAAGGAGATGCTGAGTTGGGGTGGATCCCTTACTGCAAGAAATTTAGTTTAAAATGGAAAAAAGAGGGACAAGGACAGTGTAGATTAGAAAATGTATCTATGTTCTAGCTATCTGGAAAGGCTACAAACATTAGGATTGCATTTTCTGGAAAATAAGAGATTAAATCAAATTCAGGCCACCTCTTCTGTAAAGGTGTAAGCGGCAAAAAGATAAATGGGGAGGGAAACAGTAGGGTGCCAGTATTTTGTTCTGCTGTTTCAGGCTTTCACAAACCCCAATTTCTGGAGGCAGAAAGAAGGCAAAGTTCTGTGGGAGAGGGCATGGTTAGCACATTTTAGTACAACACTACTTAACCCAGCATCCCTTATACTTTAGGCTAGTGATTTCTACTCTTAACAGCAAAACTCAGCAGAGGAGATGTGCATAGAGCTGCAACTTGGTCAAAGGCTGAGTCCATGATATTTTTGCAGCTTTTATATACACCCATTTTGTTTCACAAAATTGAATCAGACCTGAACTTAGCCTAAAAAGAGAATACCACGAATGTGGTAGTGAGTAGCCTCAGAATACAGAAAGGGCAGATGCCAGGAAACTGACTGGGAGAATGACGAGCTCAAGAACAAGAATATAAACTGAAACTAAAAATAGAGGGGAGTCTCAGTGCAGAATTAAATCTTACTTTCTGTTGACAACTATGTAATGGAATTTAGAGAGAAATTCTTTATGTTTGAGGTAGTAGAAAGAAAAGTTACAACAGTATAAGCCTACCCACTTAACCTGCAGAAGAGACCCTGTGTTTGCTTTGTTCAGGGTCCTGAACTTCTACTGTACTCTAGCCATTAAATTTGCTCTGGAGTTGCTGGACTGCAGTTCTGTGTGAATGGCTGAAAATAAGCCTTTGATGGGCTCTTGCAAAACCCAACTGGAGCTTAAAAAGGGAAAGCATAAGAATCTTTAAGGAGCCAGTACAGGATTTAGGATTTTAGAGGTCAGGCACTGGTATTAATGAGTGAAGCCCTGTGCATTGTTTTCAAAAAGTTACAGAGCCCTGTGGCAACGTAGGACTGGATTCTGCCTTCAAATGATATGAATCTGTGATGACTCTGCTACCCTCGGCACAGTGACTGCCGAATCACACCCATGGTGCCCAGAGCAGACTCTGCGCACTGTATCTTTAGATGGATGGCTGTTCCTAGTGGGGTTACACCTCTGTGCTGGAGGGGCCCTTTACTTTGCAGACCATTCATTTTCAGTCCCTGAACCAGAGGGGCCTTTGTTTTACCCTGCCCTGCCTATGAGTCCTCAAGCAGGGCTGCCCTGCCTGCTTCCCCTCCTCTTTCCCGTGCCACTCTGCCCCTCCAGTTGCCTGATTCCCCTCCTCTCTGCTGGACCCCTCTGCCTCTTACTGGGCCCCTCCATCTGCCTCTTTCCCTCCTCTTTCCTGTGCCCCTCTGCCCCTCCAGCTGCCTGCTTCCCCTCCTCTTTACTGGGCCCCTCTGCCCCTCCAGCTGCCTGCTTCCCCACCCTCTCTGCTGGGCCCCTCTGCCCCTCCAGCTGCCTGCTTCCCCTCCCCTCTGCTGGGCCCCTCTTCCTATGCCCCTCCAGTTGCCTGATTCCCCTCCTCTCTGCTGGGCCCCTCTGCCTCTTCCTGTGCCCCTCCATCTGCCTCTTCCCCTCCCCTCTCCTGTGCCCCTCTACCCCTCCAGCTGCCTGATCCCCCTCCTCTCTCCTGCACTCTTCTTCCTCTGCCCCTCCACCTGCCTCTGTTTCTTCCCTTCCCCTCTCCTCTGCCCCTCCACCTGCCTCTTCCCTTCCCTTCCTCTCCCCTCCCTGTCCTCCCTCCTTCCTTCTCTCTTTCCATCCCTCCCTCTCCCCATTTCTAGGCCTTTTCCGGTTGCCAGCCCGTCTCCTAGCAACCCCCATCAGCAGCCCCCGCCCCCCGCATGGGGCCTCGTCTCGGCTCCTTCCGCTTCCGCAGCTTCCCCAGCTCATCCCCCGGCCCCGCTGCTGCGGCTACGAGTCGCCCCCCCCCCCGCCGTGCCGCGAGCCGGCCAGAGCCGCGGCCGGAGACTTCTCCCGCCGCCGCCATCCCCTCCCGCCCACGGGTGAGACCCTCCCCTCAGGGGGACCCCGGGGCGCGAGCAGGGCCGGGGGGGAGCTGGTGGGGCGGAAGCTACTTTGAGGGAGGGGAGTGTCCAGGGCGGGGGAGGGAGGAGGTTGCAACAAGGTAGGTACCTAATTCCCGGTCATCAGCCCTGGGGGAGGGGTAATTATCCTAGGGAGTGGGGGAAGGGCGGCATTGGACGGGAGGGAAAGAGAAGAGCTGGGGGGGGGAGGAGGAGGGAAACCCCAAGAGAAGGAGGTTGTGATATTGGGGGGTTGTTAGAGTGGGGGGGGGGGTCAGTATTGTACCAGGGCTTTCATGGGAAGGGGAATTAAAGCGAGACTTGATGGAAACGGAGGCTGGGTGGAGTAAATAGTTTAAAAGGGTGGAGTGTGGTAGATGCTGGACCAGTTTGTGGGCAAGGGGTAGTGCCTGACTTAAGAAGAGGCAAGGTTAATGATCACACCCCCTTTTGTGGCCTGGCTGGGAGAAGCAGGTATTGGGAGAACAAGGCTATTTATATCAGGAAAAGAGAGGCTGATCATTTGTCAGAGCAGGTGTCTCACAAGAAGGGTGGGTTCTGATAGTAATTGGTATATCAGATGCAAGGGGAAAGAGAGGGTTTCAGGATAATACCAGGGTGGAAAGAAAAGCAGAGGTTAATTATCATGATAACAAATATAGGGTATCCAGTTGTGAATCAGGCTTTAGGGAGAAAGGGAGTATAATAAAAATAGGGGGAAAATTAAAACCTACAATAAAGGATGGTTCCTAAACCCACCCACAGTATCCCTGAATTGGGAAGTGAGCCCCAAGTTAGCCCTGCTTGTCTTGTTTAATTTGACCATTTAGACAGGGAAAGCTAAAATCCATAAGGGATGGAAGGGGAGGAAAACAGCGGTCCTCCCTCCTCAGGAGTGTTTGCAGACTGGAGTTTGGCCTTTTGGACTCTGTGCTCAGTGATCCTGCCAGTAGTGATCACCTTGTGGTGCAGTTTCCAGCGATCCCGGAGGCAGGTGCTGAGGCGAGACATCTTCCGCAAGAGCAAGCACGACTGGCATTACACAGATCTCTTTGGCCAGCCCACCTATTGCTGTGTGTGTGCCCAGCACATTCTCCAGGGAGCTTTTTGCAACTGCTGTGGGCTGTGTGTCCACGAAGGGTGTCTCAAGAAGGCCGACCGGCATTTCCTCTGCAAGGAGATTATGATGAGGAGCAATGGTGAAGCTCACACCTCTATGGCACATCGCTGGATCCGAGGCAACGTCCCGCTGTGCAGCCATTGTGTCGTATGCAAGCAGCAGTGTGGCAACCAGCCCAAGCTTTGTGACTACAGGTACAGCGGAGGAATGTGCTTGCATATGCAGGAAGTACAGTATTATGTCATTATTGTAATTGCTGTGGCAATATTTGGTCATCTTACTGCTAAATGAAATGCTAGAATAGTTCAAGCAAGTTGTCTAGCATGAAGATCCGTTAGAATTTCTCTCGGGGCCTGATATCAATGAGACTGCTTATGAAGTAAGGTGCTATTCAGCATGAGTAAAGATGGGAGAATGGAGTCATAAGTTAGGGGTAAAGCATAGCTCACTATGTCATCTATTTTATTATTATTTGTATTACTGTAGCACGTAAGGCCCCCAATCAAGAATTAAGGCTCCATTTTGCTAGACGTTGTACAGGCATGTAGTAAGACAGTCCCTGTCCCAGAAAGTTTACAACACTGCTCCTGCAACAATTTATAATTTGTTTAACTTTACACACTGTGAGTAGTCCCATTGAGTTAAACAGAACTACTCACAGTGCATGAAGTTAAGTAGGTGCATAAATCTTTGCAGGATTGGGGCCTGGACTTATGACAAAACACAATATAAATTAAACAAATATAAGTGCAAAAGTGTTCATTCCTCCTAAGACTATATTGTAAGCTCCTTAGGGCAGGGACTCTCTTTGTTCTGTGTCTGTACAGCACCTAGATCAACAGACTCCTGGTCCGTGAGTAGGTCTCCGAGTGCTACAATACTACAAAGAATAATAATAAGCAGAACTCCCTGTGAAAGTTAATGGCGAATTCTTAAAATGTCACCTATTAACTTTTGATTTGGTATTATAGATATTTATATTATAAGGTAATGATAAGTTATCTCAGTACCCTGAAATTAGCTTTTATTGATTTCAGTGGGACTACTTGTAGAGTAAGGTACTAGTCAACATGATGAATGTCATGGAATTGGTTCTGAAAAAGAGAACTGGATAAATTAATGGAGGTTAAGTCCATTAATGGCTATTAGCCAGGATAGGTAAGGAATGGTGTCCCTAGCCTCTGTTTGTCAGAAGGTGGAGATGGATGACAGGAGAGGGATCACTTGATCATTACCTGTTAGGTTCGCTCCCTCTGGGGTACCTGGCATTGGCCACTGTCAGTAGACAGGATACTGGGCTGGATGAACCTTTAGTCTGACCCAGTATGGCCGTTCTTATGTTCTGTAAATATTATCCTCGTGGACCAAGTTCTGTTTTCGGTTACTCCACTGTAACTCCATTGACTTCACTGGACATACTCTGGATTTACATCACTGTAACTGAGACAAGAATTTGTCCTCTTATATTTACATCCCTCATTCTACAGGATAAGTTTCTCGAGTGAATTCCTGGCCCCCACCCAAGTCAAAAGGAGTTCTGACACTGGTTTTATTGGAGTCAGGATTTCAACCCCAGTGTCATCTTATGTATGCCTGCATATAGGTTTTGTCACGTGCATTTGTAAATTATGCATTGACTATTTGTGGTCCATTTTGTGGCTGTTTTTTGCAAGGCTCTGTTTTGTGCCTTTGTTTTTCGCTAGGCTATCATGAACAAAATATAGGGTATTATACTGTGGGATGGACAGGTGCCTGCCGCCTCATATTTACTTATGCAGGTAATTTTCATGAGGCAAGCTAATTAGAAGAACCACTTCAGGAATCTTTTGCCAGGCTCTGAAGCTGTACAGCAGCATGGACGAATAGTCAAAGAATATATTTCTATGTATAAAACTACTATTCTTCTACTGTTAAACTCTCGTTCAGTCTTGGCAATCATTTATTTAATACTGGTTGCACTGTTGCGTGATTCATTTGCAGTTTACAACATAAATTGTATCTGTTTCCCATCTTTTCTTCCTGTCTCTCTTTCCTCCAGTGGAATTTTTGTGTTTCTCAAGTTTCATTGTTTTTTCCAAGATTTCAGGAAATAATGTATTTATTTAGTATGTCTGCATAGTGCTATAATTAACTGTGCGTAGTACTTTGTATAGAGAATGAGGACACAGCATTTTACTCCAGAGGGTTTACAATTCCGGTGACATACACATACTGTGATGTAGAGAGATTATAGCAAACGAGAGAAGGAGAGGAATACACAAAAATAAGATTGAGGTTAATTGTCTTCCATGGTATGCAGAGTGTTTTTATTTTTCTAAAAATAATTAGTGCATTGGTATTAAGGAAATAGTGAGTTATTGTTGAAGGGAGGTTAGCAAAAAGATGAGCTGGAGCTTTCAAATAGTCTCAAAGTGAACAATAGCATTCAAAAACATCTTTTGGCAGTCAGCTTGTATGATAAAGAAAATAGAGTGTTGATCCCAAGCAAAGTATGTACAGATCTGGCATATTTGTTCATTAGTAACTGCACTGTCTGAACTCTTTCAGCGTAAAACCTGCCCTAGCAGCAGATGGATATTCCTGGAGTTCCTCCACTGTCTGTCTAGATGTATGTCTGGACATTGGAATTGTCTTGCACATTGTCAGAAGCAGTGCGAGCTTCACAGTGAAAGTTTGGAGGTTCAGTACTTGTAAATTAAATCTGCTGTTACAGATCAGTTGTATTCTGAGTTTTCCTAGACACCTACTCTTAGATAATCTTTTCAGCAGCTGCTGATTGCTGAAAAACCCATGACTGACTTCCCTCTATTGTTCAGTTAAATATATTTGACACAGATGAGAGTAAGTGCATACTAGGGTAGAGGAAGTTTAATTGTGTCTATAATGTTACAAAGGAATTATTTCTTTCCTTGATTATACTTGCTACCTATTTTTACCCAGCTTTTATATGACACCTTGTAAGCGAGTAGAGCTCCAGAAGAGCAAACAACTAACTCATCTGTAAGGAGCCTCAAGTGTGTTTGATTGAGGGCAGGATTCATGGCCCACAATGAAAAGAAATGGTCACCCATCGGGAATGTCAGTGTCCATGGTATTAAGAGCTGGATTAATTGAGGGACTCCAAAAATAGCTTCCACAGGTGCTTAAATCAGGTTCTTGGATGTGGTGACCAGGATTAGCCTTCTGCACATGATGGCAATAGGTATTATAATATTTCCCCCTATATTGGCTCTCATCAGGACACCTGTAGGAATAAGTTAAATAGCTGAGCAACTATGTGCTGTGGGATTTTGTGCTACAGCTTTCCATAATGCTGTACAACTCTTAGAGCTTACGATTTAAAGGGATGCTGTCAACTTTGAAAACTGACATTATTTACAAATTTATTATCATCTTACTAACACTCAATTGTTAAATTAAAAAGCATTTTTGAAATTCAGTTTATTTTTTACTATTTGAAATTTCTTTTTTCAGTTAATGAAAATTGATGAAGCTATTTACACTTTCACTTTCAGGTTTTCAATTCTGCAGTGTTTGTGTTGCCAGCTGTGCAAGGGAATATTTATTTGCTTATAGCAACTGTTTCTCTTGGAATTACAAAAAATGTTAATGGTTCCATTGGTTTTAAATTTCGTAAAAGCTCATTTTTACAAAATCCTAAATATCTGGCCAAACTTGAGCTGACAGTGACCTTTCAGTAGTGGATTTGAAGCACAATGTGTTTGTTTTCCTTAATTCTACAGAGAACTTGTTCAGTTTTGTTTGTTTGTAATGAATTATGAATATGTAGTGTGTCTTGTAATATTTAATAGTAATCATTTTGGTATAAATATACCTGGAGTATTTTTTTTAATGAGTGCACCAAAAAATTAGGTGTTTTTTTTCCTACTTGGTTAACGATATAAATATCTGCTCTGTTTTTAGATGGAAGTAAATATTGTTCCAGGATGCTATTTTGTCAAGTTGTCCAAAGGTCTGAAACTTTTCTAGTTATATTTTGATATCTGCCTATTTGAGTCTATTCCCAGTTCCTTGGAAATAAACGTCTTGACTTTCTGCACACTCCATGCTGTTAATGCTCATGTATTCCAGCCCAAGACTGTGTGCACAGTGTAGTGTGCTGTCTACATTCACTTTTTTTAATACAGAAGTTAGGCAGTGAGAAGAAAGGCATGAAGAGTTAATTGATACCATGTCAGCAGTTTTTCTATATTTGCCTGTTCGGTTGTGCTGGCAGTAGCAACAGTAAACACTAGTTTCAAAAAGTAAGAAATGACAGTATAAGTTGTGCTTTCCACTTATTAAATCTTTGTTACTGGAAGAGGAGTAAATGCCAGAAAAGCCCAGATCTATTTTCCTATGTGATAACGATCCACGGTTTTCTCTCCTTTGTCACTCTATGTGTGTAAGTCCAGTAAAAGGAAGAAGAGAAGGTATAGTTATTTGATCAGAAAATATGTATATGGCGGGGGGGGGAAGAAACTACTTCATCTCAAGGCAGGTAGTAAATTATCTACTGACAGTTTATGCCATTTTTGTCTATTTAGGGAATTGCATGTGATGTGGTTACTTGGACTTGACTGTTATTATTATGAGCAATGTGATATTGAGAACCTTAAATATACTTGCCTCCTATTTATATTATTATGAGAGAATATTTGTTTCATAGCCTACAAAGCTCTGTGTTAGAGTTCAAGAATGCATGACTTCTTAACTTCACATAGTTTAAGAAAAGTATTTGGTTTTCTAATGTATCATACAGGGACATTAGAAGTGGAAACGACCTACTTGGTAAGCTAGTCCATAACTCTGTCAGTGTGGAACTCTTCCCTACAATACATTTACTAGTGCTTTGTCCAGTCTAGTTTTAGTGTGCCAAGCTACTTTGAGAAGGAGCTGGCTTTTTCTTACTATTCAGTCTGAATTTTTTATTTTCTTAATTTCATCCCACTAATACTCTTTTTGTCTTGAAGATCAGATCTAATAAGCGCCAATATGTTCTAATTGGGGTCACTGTGCACGTAAAATCCAAGAGTACCCGCTAATAACTCATTTGTCCCATGGTTCCTCCAAATCTGCTCTGAGTTTTTCTGAGTCTTTTTATCCGCTCCGCTGCTCTCTACCAGCTACACATTTTAAAATGAATGGTTGTTTGTGATTTAAAAAATTGTGCTAAGTGTGCTGCAGTCTCATGCTGCATCGCCACAATCACCATTATAAACTTTCTCCATCATCTTCTGGTCATTCATCCAGGGCTTTGGAGCGGAGCGCGGAGCAGCTCCAGAGCAGTGGAGCTGCAGGTTTTTGCCTGGAGCTGGAGCGGAGCCGGAGCACAGCTCCAAAGCCCTGCTTTCATCTCTCTATTCTGCCCCCATCCCCATCCAAGACCACCCATTAAAATACAAACTTTTCTCAAGTCCTCCTTTATCATTTGAATCCTCAGCAGTATCCCACAGCTTCTTTGTGTTTCTTGTCTTTGCTTTCCTCAAACTGGGAAAAATTCAGTCTTGTGCAGTGGGTCCACACAAGGCCAGGTATCCCATATAAAAGCCTGCACTAGTAGGTTTAAATTGGACCTTACTAATGCATTGTCCAGATCAGATACGTGGGGATAGAGTCATCCACTGTTCCCGTCCTTGCTTGGCTTTGTCCTTTGCTTTCTCAACTTGTTATGTTGTGTGTGTTTAGTTTAGTTCCCTGTACTGATGCTAGTGTTCCACAGATGTCAAGGATCTTGGGGCAATAATCAAAAAGAATAAAAAGTAATTGCCACCTGGTACTTAATTATTTTAATTAGATGCCCCATTACAACATTAAAAATATTGTATATCAATCACTCGGATTATGCATTTAGAAACACAAATTTTTCTAGATCTTTTTAACACTTCATCTATTTTATATGGCTTTTTCAGTTGTTCCAGAATATTGCCGTAGGGATTCAAAACCAAAAATGTGATTATATATCATTATTTTCTGAAGTATCTTTCCCTACTGTAGGACAAACTGTTACGAAGTTTGATTGTAGCAGGTTTCCCCCAATAATCAGTCTGATGCCTGCTAGGGTTTCCCCTAGTTTGATTAATAAAAAGATATTTTTAGACCATGTTTACTCTCTTCTGTTAATTCTCTAAGAAAAGGACAGCTAGTTTTTCTGAATTAGACCCTGCAAATTTCCGAGCGTGTAAGTGATGTTGATAAAGTAATTTAAGGCAAGGTTCTACACTATTATTTTATGATCCCATTGCATAACTTGTTCTGTATTAATATACCTAATTTTATAAAGTGTTTTTGCGTAGCCCTATATAAGTAAACTCAACCTTTCAATCCAAACAATTGGTTAGAAATCAAGTTAAACCACCATTTGAACTCTTTTTGTTTCTGTTTTCAGGTGCGTTTGGTGTCAGCACACTGTACATGATGAATGCATGCAGAATTCTTTAAAGAGCGAGAAGTGTCGTTTTGGAGAATTCAGAAACTTAATTATTCCACCATATTACTTATCCACCATTAATCATATGCGTAAGGATAAAAGAATTGATTATGGAAAGGTAACTTTATTGGGTTTTTTTATAATACATAATTCTAAATATTAAATAAGTGCAATGATGTGGTGGTGGTTATACACTGAATCAGTGTTTGAATACATAAATGCTAAGTGTGTTGACTTGAATATATTAGTCATTTTATTAACATCCTGGTTGAGATTGAACAGATTTTTGCACGTAATTATTCTGAGGTGACACTGAGGCTATAGTGCCTTGCTTTCTTAAACATCTTAACCACAACTGTTTAAATCCCATAATCATCTTTAGTCAAAAATTCCAAAAGTAATTTATCTTCAATTCCCTGTTATATGTTAGAGAATATTCATTAAATCTTTAGCAAAATCTGTCAACAGAGCCATTTAAAAGAAAACAGTTTCCATGCTCCAAGCCACTACTGTAGATATTGGAGAGAAATCCTATAAAATCTTTTTAAAGGGATACCTGATAAAGAATAAGCAGGGGATTGGACTAGATGACATCCTGAGGTCTCTTTCAACCTTAATATTCCATAATTCTATGAATAAGCCTGTTAAAGAATAAACTTCCATTTTACCCCAAAATTAAATATTGTGAAAACTAACTGACCCTTCAAAGAGGTACAGCTGTCAAATAAAAATATTTTCTGTGTACCAAAATAGAGCGTATTGCATAATGCAGAGTGTCAACACTCACAGTACTACCACCAGTTTTGTGATTGGGGGACTGTACCCTGGAAATTAACGACTCAAATGATTTAGGGATCATAGTGAGCAGGCAACTCAGCTCAGCATGAACTCCCCAGAGCGATGCTGTGGCAAAAGGGCTAATGGGATACTTGTATGTAGAAACAGGGGAGTAGTGAATAAAAGAGGGATGAGGTGAATTTATTTCTGTATATGCCATTGGTGAGGCTGATACTAGAACACTATGTACAGTTCTGGTGTTTACGGTTTAAAAAGGATGTTGGGAAAACTGGAGAAAGTACAGAATAGAGCTGAAAAAAGGTGATTCCAGGGCTGAAGACAATGCCTGACAGTGAGAGATTTAAAAAGCTTAAACAGAGTAACAAAAAGAAGACAAAGAAGTAACTTGACTAGCGTATAAGTACATCACAAGGAGAAAATACCTGTACTAAAGGGCTATTTAATCTTCTGGAGAAAGGCAAAACAGGAACTGGTGACTGGAAGCTGTGCCAGACAAATTCAAAGTAAAAATAAGGCACACGTTGTTAACAGTGAGAGCAATTTAACCACTGGAGCAAACTGCCAAGGAAAGTGGTGGATTCTCTATCTCTTGATGTCTTCAAATCAAAACTGGATGCCTTTCTGGAAGATAGGAGTCAGTCAAACAGAAGTTATTGGGCTGGTTACAGGACTAACTGGGTGAAATTTAGTGGCCTATGATATACAGGAGATTAAACTAGATGTTCTAATGGTCCCTTCTGGCCTTAAAATCTATGAATGATTTCAGACCAATTTTAGGGGGCTCTTGTGATAAAACACAAGCAGCTCAGAAATGTTACCTGAGGTGCCTGCATTTCCCCCTTCAACCATTACAGGCTACTGTGCTGTTTATGCCACAGGCAGCCAACCCTGTGTGCTCTGAGCAGGGCAGATTCCAGGACAGCAGAACCAGCCCTTCTCCAACTTCAGTAGTCTTAGCCCTGCTATCCCCACCCCAGTGCAGGAAAGTTAATTGGATGCAAGAGCACAGAACAAACTTCCTCCCTGCAGGCTGAAGACATGGGACAACCGCTGGATCCTGCTAGAGGAGAAGTTGGAAAGTGGGGGCCTATAGTTTGGCAGGGGGTGAGGGGAAGAGCAGGCTATGGGAGCATGCTGCGGAATTGGGATGGCTGCAGGAACGTGCCAGTAGGGAGCCTGGAGGACTGGCAGCAAAGGTGAGGGGAAAGGGAGTTGGTGCCAGCATTATTGTGTATGATTCAAGGTTGAATTTTCAACCTGTAATTCTCACACGCAAATTAGGGTATTCACAGGGGAGGTCAAAAATCTGAAGACGGACAAAAAGCAAGACTTTCTTCTTCTCTTTTTTATTTTTGGTTCTGTCTGCTGGTATTTGAATCCTTGAGGTTAGCAGTACTGAAAACATGAAGTCAATTTAGAGTGGAACTTGCATGTTTGTGTAGATTTGATAAAAAGCTATTTGTAGAAATGTTCAACTTCGCTGATAATTTTCTGTATATCCCTTTATTATGGAAATCATTTGTGTTTGAACAAAAGCATTATCTGTCCTAAGCCATGTTTTGATTCTTCCATGAGAGTATAGTCCTGTGTTTAAGACCTCAGTGCTGCTATGGAGATAATTCTGATGTGATTTCTTTGCAAGATCCAGGTGTAGAAGAGGGAGGAACTGTTTGAAAGCTCTTGTTACAAATGATGATTAGCAAAAGTGGCAACAAGAAACTATGAAAAAACACAAAAATAAAATGACTGTTAGTAGCTGTATTTTGGCACTTCCAACTAAATCTTCATTGACTGGGAATGCTACTGGTTGAAATAAGTTGTAAAACTTAATTACTTATTTGCAAAGTTTGCTTGTTTCTGTACTTACTATAAAGAGGGAATTAGCTACTTTTTATTTAAAATTATGGAGTAATTCATTTTCTCTGTCTTTGTGTAAATGGGGAATGACGTTGGAATTCAAAGCCCCTCATTTCTTTCAGGTTTGTCACATTTGTGTACATATGGAATTTTTTTCTTTCTGCAGTTGGCATCCTCCTATTGTAAACACTGGACCCCAATAATAATCCTGGCTAATACTCGTAGTGGAAACAACATGGGCGAAACATTGTTGGGAGAGTTTAAGATTCTCTTAAACCCAGTTCAGGTAATTGTGGAGGAAAGCCAGAACTATGTAATAAACTAAAGACTCAATTAAGATCACCAGCATTTTGCTTATATATGGATTACAGGATCTTTTTAAGCAGTTTGATACAAATCTCCAGCTAAGGAAACAGACTGGTGCAGTTCTCATTTGAAGAAAAATGACCATCAGGATTTTAGCACAGGTCTGCAAAGGCAACTTAAGGAGTTTTTTTTGTTTTTTTGGTTTTTTTTTACAATGAGTTTGATAAGGAGCTAGGTGTCACCAAGATTTATAGAAGTTGAACTTGCAATAATCCCCTCGCTGCTTTTATTTGCCATAAGTCTCCTATTCATTCAGGAAGGTATGACGTTTTTAAGATTGGGAACAATTGAAAAAACACTTCAAATCATAAGTAAAATCATAACTCTTTCTTTTCACTACATGATGCGTTGTGCAATGTCATCAACTTGATCACTCTGTCTGGTGCAACGGTCCTGAGAAAACTATGCGGGTTTGATCTGATTCTTTTGAAGCTTTTTAAATCTTAACTTTATTTCTGAAAATGGCAATACATCTGGCTATTTTCCTGTGTTGTCCTCTGTGTTGCCATTGTCCCTTAAACTCAGCTGAGAAGGCACAGGATGCTCTGACATAAGGTAGCTGTTCCTAGACTTCCTGATTACCTCTTAATTCTCTTCCTCCAAAGTTCAAAGCAAGAGCCTTCAATGATTTCTGCTAGTCTGAATTTAAGGTCTTTGTTTTAAAAAACCAAAAATCAATGCCAAGAGTAGTCTCAATGAATAAACTCTTTTTTACAAATTGAATTTTAAGTCTTTTTTTTTAAACCGTTTTTATTTCATTACTTTTGGTTCTTGTAAAAGTGAAGGATTGACATTACTGGATTTAAAAAAAAAAATCCAATTTGTTTTGTTAATATGAATATTCACTGAAATAACTACTCACATGAATCTGAGTAGGATTTGGTCTTTGGTATGACCATTTGCCAGTGTAGTTGTCTGGAACTTATGATGATCAGTTTGCATCCTGATATATAAAAGTGAAGATGTTTTGATCTGTGAAGTAAACCCTACACTGTGTGTCTTAACTTACAGACATTTTCATTTTTATTTTCATTTGTTCATAGGTTTTTGATCTGAGCAAAATTTCACCTGCCAAAGCACTCCAGCTTTGTACCTTGCTGCCTTATAATTCTGCTAGGGTACTTGTCTGTGGTGGGGATGGCACAGTGGGCTGGGTCCTGGATGCAATTGATGAAATGAAGATAAAGGTATGGTGTTTGAATACCTTTGCATGTATTGTGGTGAAATACACTTTGGACAGTTACAAAAATTAAGCCCTAATCTCTTATCCGGATATGGGTCATTCCTATCTTTCAGAGTAAACCTATTAAGAAAAGTATTTGCTAAGTAGCTTATATACAATAAAGAGATACAGACTTTGAACGTTTAATTTAGAAGCCATTCTGCTCACGGAGTGTAGCCTATTTTATGCGTTCCTTTGCAATCTAAAGAGAAATTTAATTTGCTGTTAATGGACTTATTAATATAGTAAGGTTCTTCTGCTCTGGCTGCTTATTTCTCACCAAAAGTATTCAACTTCTAAAGCCACCAAAAATAATGACACAATTGCAGTTTGTGACTTTAGAAAGAGATTAAGGGACAGAAGTAGATAAATTATTAAAGATTTGGTTTTCATTATACTATTACTTACTGACAAGAAGTGAACAAACTTTGTGTGTTTAGTATTGTTTCTAAATAGAACACGTTTTCAGTTTAAGAGGTGTCAGCAAGAACTCCTGGGATGTCTAATTCGATTGTCACCCTTTCTGCCTAGTATCCACACACCCACCTCCTTTTCTCTGCAGAAAAAAAGAAAACAAGTGGTAAAGTTCTCAAAATTGGATAAGAAAAATGTAATTTCCATTTCCCAATTTTCTGGAGTCAAAGTGAATGTTATATTTAACTAATAATACTTTGTAAAGTACTGTACTGAAAGCTGCAACTGGGACATGATGCATAAACCTATGAATGCTTTTGAGAGAGACATATTTGCTGGAACAATGAAATATGTGGAAGAAAAATGTCTTAATAGCCCTGCAGAGCTAATGTACTTAAGATGGTGTGAGCTGGATTCTAGGCCCTCTCATGCCTCCTTAGCAGAGTTCTTGACAAAATTTTATGCTCCTGAAAACGCATTACAGGCATTGGTAGTACATAGGTATTCCTCTGAGGGCTGGGCTGTAAAACCTTTATCACTGGTAGTAAGTGAAGGGAGAAAAGAGCCCAGCTTGACTCTCAGATCCCTGGTTGCAGGGCTGATAATAAGAAGAAACATCCTTTTTCTTATAAACATATATATCCTGATTAAACAACAGTAACCACGATGCCACTTTTCAAATTACTTCTCACAGTTGAAAACTTAAATCTCACAACAGCTCTATGAGCTAGGTAGATACACCAGCTTTACAGAGGGGAAGCTAAGGCAGTAAGGGAAAGGCAAGACATTTTCCAAAGGGGCTGCTCATTTGGGGATATGTTATTTTTGTGCATTTGGTATTTGCCTAGTTTAAAAATTCCACCTTTCATATTTTCTTGATCCCAAATGCTTAGATTTGACATTTGCCATGCTTACAGTACATGCTGTGCCACTCTGTAATAACCATTGAAGCAGCTTTTCTGTTAATGGTGTTCAGCTATCTTCAGAATTTCTGCGGATAATAGGGAGGGAGAAGACTCTAGAAAAGGAGATTCTAAAATATACCATTTCTATGTCACAGGGACAAGAACGGTATATTCCACAAGTTGCAATCTTACCTCTCGGAACAGGTAATGACCTGTCTAATACGTTGGCTTGGGGTGCAGGTTATGCTGGAGAAGTCCCAGTGGAACAAATTTTACGAAATGTAATGGAGGCAGATGGAATTAAACTAGACCGGTAAGTAACACGGTACAAAGGTGAATCCCACAGCACCTTTACTATTTTGTCTATAAACTCCAGAAAGCATTACCGATCAACAGTAACACCCAGTGACCGCAGAGTTTTGATAGGGAAACACAAACACGGTGCACACAGGTGTAACTGCTCCAGTGGGAAACTAGGGGGTACTGGATGTCAGAGATGGAGGAGCCTCTGCTATGCAGCTTCTCCAATGCTGAACCTTTAAATATTTAACCAAACCTCTGAATCTTCTGAGGAACATCCATCTTCTGATTATAATTTCTTACATCGCAGTTGTTGGTTTCTTATTGCAGTTTGAGTTCAGTGAGAGTAGTTCATCTTCTGTCACTTGGCTAAATAATAGCCTTTTGTTTTTCAGATGGAAGGTTCAGGTAACAAATAAAGGATACTACAATTTAAGAAAACTAAAGGTATGGTTTCAAAATTACTAAAATTTGGATCTTACCAGATGCTTGTATTAACTGATTATTTTATTTCCTACTTGCATATGCTTTTTAAATAAAATAAAATAAACTGCCAGGCCTGAAGGTTGTATAGTAATAATACCTCGCAGATAGAGCACTTTTCCGCAGAAGATCTCAAAAAGCTTTACAAAGGAGATCAGCACCATTATTCCTATTTTACAGATGGGGAAACTGAAGCACAGGGAGGTGAAATAATTCCCCCACAGTCACTCAACATGCCAGTGACAGAGCCAGGAATAGAACCCAGATTCCCTGTGTCCCAGTCCAGTGCTCTGTTCACTAGGCTTTTCTCTTCAATTCACAGTACCGTAGGAAAGTAGATGGAAGCTTTAACAATAATGGTATTGGAGCATTGAAAACAATGAACTGCGTTGTTAATTGGCTAACACAGAAGTGAAGCTGTTACGCAAGTTTACAGCAGTGCTAAGAACGCTATTCTTACTACATGACAATCTTATAATTCACAATAAACAAGAATAAGAAAATAGGAAATGTGAGGAGGATTGCAAATCATGTGTTGCCACTCTGGAAAGTTTCAGAAAAAAAGATATAACCATTTGGTATATGGAAAAGATAAGTAACCTGCCCGTAAAGTGAATGCGTATTTGAAAGAGTGATCTAATCTCAATGAGTTTTACACTTTTGTGACTGACATCAGTAGAGTTACCCCTGATTCTCATCAGTGTGAGAGAATAATCAGGCCCTAGTCTCAGGGGAGCGGAGGGGCTTGGAATAGTGTTTGAGGGAGTTGATATCTGACTTGTTACAGGGTTAGTTGAAGTTTCTGTCATGCAATTCCAAAGTTTAATTAACTGTATATATCTATATTTGCATATTGTAGTTAAGTAGCACCGTCTGCTGGAAAATGTTGGGATCCACAGAAAGAAATGCAGGATTTACAGTTTCTTTTCTAGATCGCTACATGTTTTGCTTGCAGACCTGGCATTAAGAACCTTTATCTCATTTTTAGGGCTGTCAAACAATTAAAAAAATGAATTGCGTGATTAAAAAAATTTATTCATGTAATTAATCACACTGTTGGTAATAGAATACCATTTATAGAATACCATTTATTTAAATAATTTTGAATGTTGTTCTACATTTTCACATACATTGATTTCAGTTATAACACAGAATACAAAGTGTACAGTGCTCACTTTATATTTATTTTTTATTACAAATATTTGCACTGTAAAAAAAAAAGAAAGTGTTTTTCAATTTACCTAATACAAGTACTGTAGTACAATCTCTTTATCATGAAAGTTGAACTTAAAAATGTAGAATTATGTACAAAAAAATAACTGCATTCAAAAATAAAACAATGTAAAACTTTAGAGCCTACAAGTCCACTCTGTCCTATTTCTTGTTCAGCCATTCGCTCAGACAAACACATTTGTTTACATTTGCAGGAGATAATGCTGCCCACTTCTTGTTCAGAATGTCACCTGAGAGTGAGAACAGGTGTTCTCATGCCACCGTTGCAGCCGGCGTTGCAAGATATTTACATGTCAGATGTGCTAAAGATTCATATGTCCCTTCATGTTTCAATCACCATGCCAGAGGACATGCATCCATGCTGATGACGGGTTCTGCTAGATAACAATCCAAAGCAGTGCAGACCAACGCATGTTCTTTTTCATCATCTGAGTCAGATGCCACCAGCAGGTTGATTTTCGTTATTGGCGGTTCGGGTTCTGTAGTTTCCGCATTGGAGTGTTTCTCTTTTAAGACTTCTGAAAGCATGCTACACACCTCCTACCTCTCAGATTTTGGAAGGCACTTGAGATTCTTAAACCTTGGATCGAGTGCTGTAGCCATCTTTAGAAATCTCATATTGGTACCTTCTTTGCGTTTTGTCAGATCTGCAGCAAAAGCGCTCTTAAAAAGAACATCATGTGCTGAATAATCATCCGAGACTGCTATAACATGAAAGATATGGCAGAATGCGGTTAAAACACAGAGCCGGGGACATACAATTCTCCACCAAAGAGTTTAGTCACAAATTTAATTATTGCATTACTTTTTTAATGAGCATCATCAGCATGGAACCATGTCCTCTGGAATGGTGACCGAAGCATGAAGGAGCATATGAATGTTTAGCATATCTGGCACGTAAATACCTTGCAATGCTGGCTACAAAAGTCCCATGCGAATGCCTGTTATCATTTTCTGGTCACATAAATAAGACGTGGGCAGCATTATGTCCCATAAATGTAAACAAACTTGTTTGTCTTCGCGATTGGCTGCACGAGAAGTAGGACTGAGTGGACTTGTAGGCTCTCAAGTTTTGCATTGTTTTGTTTTTGAGTGCAGTTATGTAACAACAAAAATCTACATTTGTATGTTGCACTTACACGATAAAGAGATTCAACTACAGTCCTTGTCTGAGGTGAATTGAAAAATACTGTATCTTTTGTTTATCATTTTTACAGTGCAAATGTTTGTAATCAAAAATAACAATATAGAGTGAGCAGTGTACACTTTGTGTTGTGTTGTATGTGTTGTCATTGAAATCAATATATTTGAAAATGGAGAAAAACATCCAAAAATATTTAATAAATTTCAATTGGTATTCTATTGTTTAACAGTGCGATTAAAACTGTGATTAATCGCGATTAATATTTTTGAGTTAATCACGTAAGTTAACTGCGATTCATCGACAGCACTACTTATTTTTAAAAATGCCACAGTGAGCAGTGAAAGTGCCAAAAGAAGCATTTTAGAACAAAGGATACTATGAAAGTGGTCATAGGGCTTTCCTTATCTCTGAGGAAGTCCAAGGATAGCTGAGAAGTGTGTGCAAAACTCCATGAATCCAACAATAATTTGTAAGTGGTGGCAGTGTATTGGTAAGTGCAGAGAGTCGGTGACTATTTTAATTTCATAGGACCAAATTCTGCTCTGTAACTTGGGTGCTTCTCCCACCCCTGGGTAATTCTCATCAAAGCACCTATATAACTGAGAGCCTTTAATCATTTTATGTTAGCTAAGAACCAGTTATCTGCTGCTTCAGATTACACACTCATAACTTCGAATTTGCATATTGCTAGGATTTTGTTTTCATGTCTCCATAATTTTAACTAGAGCTGTTGTCCCACAGGTGTTCACAATGAACAACTATTTTTCCATAGGACCTGATGCTCTCATGGCTCTCAACTTTCATGCGCATCGTGAGAAGACTCCCTCTCTGTTTTCCAGCAGAATTATTAATAAGGTGTGATTGATAAAATAGCATTTTTCACTTCTTGCCAAAGATACTGAGAATTGCCACCCTTTAACCAAATGACTGCAAACAGCCTCCATTAATTCATGGAAGTATTTAAGTATCAGCTGTTTTGTGTAACAGTCTGAGACAAACTTGGATTTTTTTTACATTGAGTAGCAATCAAGCAAAACATTTTTCTGCCTCTTAATCTAAGATCATGTTTGACTAGTGTCTAGTTTATTCTAATGCAGGGATAGGCAACCTATGGCCCACATGCCAAAGGCGGCACGCGAGCTGATTTTCAGTGGCACTCTCACTGCCTGGGTCCTGGCCACCGGTCCAGGGGGGCTCTGCATTTTAACTTCATTTTAAATGAAGCTTCTTAAACATTTTTAAAACCCTATTTACTTTACATACAACAATGGTTTAGTTTATATATTATAGACTTATAGAAAGAGACCTTCTAAAAACATTAACATGTATTACTGGCACGCGAAACCTTAAATTAGAGTGAGTAAACGAAGACTTGGCACACCGCTTCTGAAAGGTTGCTGACCCCTGTTCTAATGTGTATTTCCATGTTGTTGTTCCTCAATATCATGGTTATGCATTCTAGTACTATGGCCAAATTCTCTTTGACTTCTGTGGAAACAGCTCAGGCCACTGATTTATTGCAGTTGTGCAATACAACTGTGGAACTACACGTCCAACCTCGGAAACTGCCATTAGGATTCTATTTTCCCTTACGTGAAATTTTTCCTACATAGGGAAGGAGAAACTCTTCTTGTCTAGCTCCTGGAGTTTCATCTTCATTGTTCCATTGGGTGTTCAGGGTTTATCTCCCTGGGTCAGGAAGTTCATTCTCTTTCAGCAGTACATGTCTTGAGATGCACAGGGATCTTGGTCAACTATGCAGGACTGTTGTCTCCACACAGCTGTTCTGCTGGCCCACCATCATGCTGCTATTGGCTTATTTACCACTCCATATTCCTAGGTTGTACAGTAGTGGCGAGAATATGGACTCTAGTACCAGCAATGGAACATGCTTCTTAGCGCTACCTCTTCCCATCCCAGTTTTAGAAGAGGTCCAGTCCTAGAGCTCTTGTAGAGGAGCTTCCATGGGGAGCTTATGGTGGGTCTGGTGCATTTCCAGCCAGGTTCCAGCTGTTTGGGTTGCTCTCCCCTTCTGGAAGCAGAGGGAAAGACTCTTGTTCTTAATTACCTGCAAAGCAGTCTTAAGTATATTTATCTCTGTAGAGCTTCTCAGTCATTTGGAAACGTAATGGACTGGAGCAATGGCACTGCCCAACTCTTTAAAAGTGCAGTACTGATTTAATTTTGAAAGGAAAAACTTCCTTGCACTAGATAGTAATTACTGGGTCATCCTCTTCCTGAAAACTTAAAAGCAAAGAGGATACACAAATATCTCCTGTTACATAAAAATTTCAGATTGAGCTCTTATAACCATAATTAAATTATCTTCGTCTTTCTCTCTGTTTCTGATACTGGTTTCTCTTTAACTTTTTGTAGGCTGTTTATTTTTTCTATGGAACCAAAGATTGTTTAGTACAGGAATGTAAAGATCTTAACAAAAAGGTTGAGGTAAGATATCTGTGTTCTCTCGCTAACTCACTTTATTCCCTGGGGGAACATACATCTCCCTCCCTCAAGAAAGCAGGATCTTAAATGGAAATGATCTAGTAATTTTTATAAATAAAAAAGTCTAAGCAACGCCTAAGTCTAAGTTTCCACTAGGTACAATCATAGAGACCTCTTAATGCATACCTGGATATTGCTTACCTTTTGATATAAAAGCAAAATTAACTTGTGGCGACTGACTATTCAGGACTTACTGTACAGTATCTAGTGCCTGATGCTAAACCCATTGAAGATTCCCATTTACATTTATGGACTTTGGATCGAGCCCCTGCTGTAGCTAAAATCCCAATGTATAGGTAAAACTTGCTCCAGCACAGAGGGACTACACAAGTCTGAGTCACAAACCCTTGCAATTGTAATGTGCTAGTTAATAGTAGAAATGGGGGTGGTAGGATACGGTACTATATTATGAAGTCAAAAATGTTTTCTAATATGTTTATATTTATTTTATAAATAACACACATGCTGATCATATGGGACCAGGTCCCATTGACTTCAGTGGGATGCCCACCCTAATGTATGAAGAGAAGTGGCACATGCCCAAGTACAGAATTTGGCCCACAGTAACTTACTAACAATCTGTTGTGTATCTGTAAAGCTAGAGTTGGATGGTGAGAGAATCGATCTGCCGAATTTGGAAGGTATCATCGTCCTGAATATTGGATACTGGGGAGGTGGCTGCAGATTATGGGAAGGAATGGGTGATGAGCCTTATCCACTGGCAAGGTATGTAGTGCCTTAATGGTTATAATATATACTTTTTTATTACAGTGTAAGGGCCAATGGGCTTACGTAAGCAGTCCCGTTAATCAGAGGGATTGCTCACATGAGTAGGTGCTGCAGAAGTGGGCCATAAGATTTTAAAGAGTGCATTGAATTTGTTATGCAGCAGAAGGCAAACAGATAGTTTTAAGCTTATGTACTGTAACAGTCACTTTCATTATAGTTTTATCTATTAATACAAAGACTATGTAAAGTTTTTTTATACAGTTATTTCAGTGGTGTTCCCAACTATTTTTTTTTATAGTAAATTTCTCCTTTTCTAAAATTTAGATATGATGATGGACTGCTGGAAGTTGCTGGAGTTTATGGCTCTTTCCACTGTGCACAGATTCAGGTGAAATTAGCAAATCCTGTTCGACTAGGACAGGCACACACTGTGAGGGTACGTATGATTACCTTTACCCAGGTTTTTCAGTGAATGTGTCATCTTAGGCACTCAACTGCTGATCACGTCTTTGTCTTTAAAAGTGGCAGTTTGTCGGGGAGTCTGGTGTTCATCTTTGTTGGAAAAGTTAATTGCCCCTTAAATTGCACCCACATAACTCCATTATGGACACCTTATACATGTGCGTAACTAACAATATACTAAGATTCTCTACTGGGAGGCTAAAATCTTGCTGTATCAGTACATAGGCAATAGTTGTAAATGAAGTATCTTTGGCTGGAGTGAACTGTTATGATTCTATATACGCTCTTTTATTTAATACCAGCTGATTCTGAAGAATTCAAAGATGCCAATGCAGGTGGATGGAGAGCCATGGGCACAGGGACCCTGCACTGTTACCATAACTCATAAGACACATGCACTGATGTTATATCACTCGGGTGAACAAACAGATGATGATGCTTCCAGCATGTCTGAGCAGGAACACACAAGGGAACAGACGGATGAAGACATATAGGTTCTGAAGAATTTTACATAATATATTAATCAAGTCTCGTTAAAAAACTTAGAACATTTAATATATATTTAACTATCTCAATAACTATACCTTTATGCAGTAAGGTGTAGACTTGTGAGTGGCATAGGGGTAAAAAAAAAAAAAAAAAGCCATGCTTTCAAGTATTAATGGAAAATCCTCCAGACTAACCCTTAGCAAAACACTTAGGTGTATACTATCAAAATGAAAATCTCACTATAACTTAAGCTGATTTTTCTTAAGGCTAAATGTCGTTTTAGTATGTCTTGAGAATACTATTTTCTCTTTTAAATAAGCAGTATGTCTTACTCAGTTCAACAATATATTGTGAGGTGCACATAAAAGAAATAGCGAAATGTGACTTTGGGTAGCATGACCATCTTTTAAGACCTATGTAAGAAGACTGTTTCTTTTGGTGACAATAGGCAACACTTTAAAAACTGTTACAGATAACTGATCGTGTCTGATGATGATCTGAAAATAGCAACATGGCAAGTCAGTCTGTGCCACCCCATTGATCATAAATACATATATGATCTGGTTCAGTAAAAATGTATTATTTGCTAAAACAGATGGAGAACATATGTCAATTTTGCTTCCTGACTAGGTCATGCAAGGTGAATAATAGTTTGCGGGATTTAGAACTTTATCTCCCATTTAAATTTATGACCACAAAATAACATTATTACAAACAATGATACAAAAATTCAGAATAGATGTAACAGTAGATATAAACATCCTGTTTAGGTAACCATCAACATTTCTCCAGGTAAATATTGATCTAGGTGAAGCTTCTCAGGTTTAAAACTTCGTGGTCGCCTCAGCAGAAATCAATATTTGCTCCTTAGTTATTTTATGAGTGAGTAATTTAACCTACAAAGCCAAGAGCTTGAAGCTAAGGAGTAAACCTGTCACTAATCAGTCCAGTTGAGCGCATGTACTGCAGGTGATCTCCAAACAGTAACTGAACTTATAGTAGATGTGTGCTGCATATGTTAAGCCCAGTGACAAGTTAAGGAAAGAGTCTTGGTCTAAACACTGAATTTTCTTACCTCTTTTGTCATTTTAAGCCAGTGCCCTCAAATAACTTTCCTTTTGTTTTCTGTATGCTAGTTTAAAGGGACACTGTCAAGTAGGGTAGGCCATATATCTACGTTTTGTAAACCAAATGGAATTGTTTTACAGAATCTTAAAAAAAAGTTTCCATGGATTACCTAATGTTAATGAAAACTTTTTTTTTAATTTATTTAAGCATTTTTGTACAGGTTTATGGAAATCAAACACAACAGCATTATATGCATGCATGAGAGACCAGGGAGTTAAACAGACTCTTTCTGGTTTAAATTTTCCATGCTGAGTGAAATGCAAAAAGCAAACATAGTTTATATGGTAAAAAGTTAATCACATTTTTGAAACTCTTCCATTTTTAATAATCTTTCAAGATAAAAATATGTTTTAACTTGACAGTGTCCCTTTTTAAAAGTTTACATGCTAGATTCTAAATACTACTGACATTAGTAAATTCATATTTAGACAGATTTGCAAGGTGTTCATTATATATGTGATTAGAATGTAATGAATTGTAAATGTTGACAACAAATGTAAATTTCATACTTGGTAGCCTTATAGACCTTCTTTGAATTTGTAATTTATCATGTAAATACACAGCGATTTTGAGTCACAAAGGTCCACATAAAAAGTAAATTAAAAATTCCTAAAGTAGATATACCATGTTATAGATAGATCCACTATCCAAATCTTCTCTAGTTAAAATTGACTTTAGGTTATACTAGCTTAAAAATCATTTTAAAATGGTACGCCTCTATTTTATTTATTTATATTTGAATAACTTATTCACACTTATTTTTAAAAATATTTATTTAAGTATTATGTTCTTATCCTTGTGTACTAATGTTTACAGGCAAGTTATAAAGCTCTGTAAAAACTGGGTATGTATTTGGAATGCTTTTTTCCTGGTCCTGGAGAGAGGGTAGATTGAAAATCCATCCTGTCTCTAGATCAGTGTTTCTCAACCTCTTTGACACCAGGGACTAGCTTGCTGCCTTCCTAAATTGTGTCAGGGAGATCTCAGGGACCTGCACCAGTCCATGGACCAGTCATTGAGAAACACTGCTGTAAATGACAGCACAGTTGGTGAGAGTAAGTTGTCTCCCAATTTGTTTTGTTCTTGGTTGGAGGAAGGAAACGTAGGTACAGCACTTCAGACAATGGGGTATTGGCCAGCAGGTACTGTATGCAGACAAGCTGGATCCTTCCACTGACTGCAACTCACTGAGCACTTCTCAGGATCTGATGCCAATTGGGTGAAATACTCTCTGGGCAGTACAAATCCATGAATAGCTTTGTAGTACAGGAGGAGAATGGGCAGTGAAGGTAACACTTCATCTAATACCTACTTAGTAATTTTGGAGAGCTGCTTTCTGAGGATGGCCCTAATTGTCTCAGCCAAATCATTGCTCTTTGCATGCTGATGGGAGGAGAATTATGCTGCACGTATGAGCAATTAGAAGTGACTGAATAGTTGATGGGTAACAAATTTAGATAGTGTATGCTTGAAAAGCCTTTCAGAAAACTCTATTTGAGGATTGGAGAAGATTGCACTTGCTATAAATTTTTATCTCAAAGTCAGATATGCCATACCCACTTTTCCTGCAATTGTCTCTAGTTGTCTACAGGTCAGAGGACTTTTTAAAAACATAAATGTTAAGGCTAGAGTTTAAATATGTCAAGTGATCACAGGAATCTTCCAATTCCCAACTTACCACCCTGTGGGGTTTTTGGGGTTTTGTTTTAAACTTCTCTTGCTCAACTGTTTTATTTTAATCAAAACTTTTCAGTTCATCATAAATTTAGAGTCAGATTCATGACTGTGAATTTCTCCCTGTGCAACCACTTTAGTCTGACTGCAGAAGTTATAAGTCATTATCATTTGCCCCCCACGTCTAATCTGCATATAAATTAAATAAAGACACTTTTCAGTTTTAATGGTAGTTGCTCATGTGCTATTGTATATTTATCATGGTTGTGAATCTGATGAAATTCACATTTTTAAAAAAAACAGATGTGAGAAAACATGAAGCACCTGATACAGTTTTGTCTATTGATTATCCTATTTTTTAATTAAAAATAGGCTTTGACAATTGGAAACATAAAAATATTGCAATATATTAGTTATTCAGAAGAGGGTGCTCTGCTATTGAAATTCATGCCCTACTCTAAGAAAAGCAACACAGCATTTACGGATGACATAAATTATGAATACATTTAATTTCTTAGAGGCTTTTCATAAGCATATTAATTTGAATAAAATGTACAGCTGTAGAAATATTGAGATATTAATTTAGCAAGCATTCAGAATATTCATTCACAAAGCTGTAATTCTAGGCTATATTGAGATTTTATTGCAGCATATGCTAGTGTACCTAAAGATCGGTCAGTGCTTCTGTTATAAATCCTTTTCCTGGGTTTATAACCTACAGGTTAAAATGTCTTTGGCGGGCTTAAACTTGCGCACACAGCCTAGATATGGAGTGATCTTTTTTCTCCCCTCACAACCCCCTTACTTATTAACTTTCACAATTTGTATATAATATATCTATTTTTCTTATAGTAGTTCACAGGTCAGAGTAAAAGTTCTGTATTCTTGAATCTTCTGCAACTTGTTTGTGGTTTTAAAAGCAATGTTCCCAATCCATGAGGTGGGCCCTACATCTTTTCTATTTTTCCCCTTGAAATAAAATAGTTGAGGTCTGACAGTAGTTGCCATTCACGTTTATCTTTTTTATAAGAAATTGTGCCACTTATTGGCTAAGATATAGTTATAACCCGATGCGTACTGGTGGTCATGTGTTTACAGCATACTCCAGCATAGCGCCAAAAACCATCACAACGGGTAAATAGCATGGTTCAGATTCTCCTTTCCAATGCATTGATGAGACTCCCCTTTTAAATGGACACACCTAACTTTAAATCACACGTGTATTCTGAACATTTTTGTAATCTGCTAATTGTTCTGGATTGCATTCACTTCAGCTGGAGTGGTGGGTGCTAACACCTTTGAAAACAGGCCCTTACTTATTTTTCCCTGTTTGGGCCTTTTTACATTCTAGAATTCTACAATATAAATGCAATCAAGAGAATCTGATTTTGATAACAGGATGAAGACAGCCATGACTTAGCAGTCATAGACAGGGCAAATCTTATTCGGCTCCATGTTAACCGACCAAGATTAACTCCTGGTCCAAGCAAAATCTAATCCCAGTTATTTGGCTTGATGATGATGAATAAGATTTGTCTGGTCTCCACTAACCATACAGTCACAATTGTCAGTATTATGTTAACTAACTAGCAACAAAGGAAAGAAAAATATTTGTAATAGCAAAACGTGCTTATAAAACTATAAAATTGACTGGGGCACTCAGGCAATTGTAATACTAGAAACTTCCTTCTAATTCACTTTTTGTAATTGACTCGTTTTTAAGTTTTTGGTATCCTTGTAAGTCGGAGCCATTCTGAGGTCAGTGCACAGTTCTGTGCTCATATTTAGATTGCATTTCAGTCAGGTATTTTTCCTTGTGTGTATAGACTTGTATCCTGCGCTTTATTTTTATTTTTTTAATGCGATGTTAGTCATGGTATGTTTTAATAGGTGTAAAATTTAGGTCCTCCCTAGCAGTCCAATGCACTTTTTTCTAGAAGATAATATTCACTGAGGAGACAATGCTGATTATTTCCATTGGGTTTTGTGGTCTTTGCGCCAAAACCTACAAAGATTTATGAACTTGATTAATTTTTAGCATGTATGTCTAGCAATTACACTCAGCACTGTGCTTGCAGTGTTCTTCACTGGGGTAAGCAGGCTTAGTTGCGATCCAAAATAGCCTCCTTACAAAGTGCAACTTACTGTCTTTAGCTGGAAAAAATATTATCTAAGTATTGTTCCGTAGCTTTCAATTGCATTAAAAATGTTAATGTAATACATGTTGACTTCTTAAAGAATACCCGAATGTTGAAAACATACCACTGTTCCTTAGTTCAGATATAAGAGTAACACATTTTTGAAATTCCTTGTATGTATGCTCTTTGTTTCCTATTTCATTACATAGTATGACTGCAAATTTCTTCTTTTTTTTTAAACTGTCAACTAGAAATAATCTAGAATATTTTTAGATTTAAAAAGAGATTACTGCAACATTTTAGTACCCTGGTTGATCCTTCTGAATGTGAACTATCCACTTTAAAAAAATATGCTCTGATCTTGTTCTTAGGAACTGTAGCTGCTTATTGAGCACAGTGTAGGGTAACAAAACACCGCTTGTTTTGTGTGAACAGTACTTACACATTCCGTATGTTTAAGGCCCATTCCTGCAAGCACTGCCTGCTCAAAATTCCTATTTGCTTCACTGAGTGCTGAATATTCACTGAGCCCAGGATTGGGGTCCTTTGGGATAGATCTTCAGCTGGAGTAAATCAGCAGTGTGCCATTGAACCAAGTGGTGCTAGGCTGACTTACACCAGCTGTAATGTTTTGGAAGTCTGAATTACTTTCATAGTTTTAAACTATCCTTTGTTTCTCTTTAACATTTCCCTGTCTTCTGTGCCCACATCATCTGCAACGGTCTTTACATTTCCAGGTTCAGAGTTGTTAATTTAAAATGTTTGCATCCATCAAATGTAACCCTGATTATTGTATTGGCTTCTCTTTAAAGAGGAAATGGAAACTACTGTTGTTAGGATTTCAGTCTGTATCTTCAAAGTTTACATTCCTCATTAGCCATATGTCTACTACTAACTCATGTAGCTCTTAGAACTCTAGCCATCTAATCTTTATAGTTTTTTTTATAGTAAAACAGAATGATTTTTTATTTTTGTAGCATATACCTTCAATATGTATAATAGAAATAATGATTCAAAAACCATACTATGAATATTGTAAAAATGTGAATTTCAAGAGCTGTAACTGTGAGTTAGTCAGAGTCACTTAAATAATATTTGTGAGAAATTACCAGCACATCAAAGGTTTACAAAAGCCTATTCTTTAGGATAGAAGTAGTCTGATATTGTAATATGTTTGTATTCAATGTGCATACGCAGATTCTGAAATTGCACTAAATAAGAAACCAAGAGTTTTTTACAAATCTAAGCACTGGATCAAAATGCTGAATTTGTAATATTTAGTGTTCTTTTTATCCAGAAAAAATGATGGGTGGTTGGTCAGTGGTTTTGCCACCAAACGGTAATGCAGGAATCCATCAATTTATTCAGAAACATAATTTTGTGCCTAATGTTCCATAAGATGTGGCTATCATTCAGTGAAGTGCCCAGAAATTAACAAATGCCCATTTTTCCACCACCACCTCCCCATATTCCCTTCCCCACCCAAAAAAAGAAAATGACACATTGTGTATTCACAGCTGCAAAGTGCTTGAGGTCTTCTTTGTAAAAGAATGACCAACCAGCATGATACTGCATTTCCAAAGTATCTTTTTAAAAGGCAGAAGATACACTTACATTTTCCTTGGCATCAAGAGATGCATGTAGCCCCCCAGGTAGAATTAGCTGCTCTTCTGCTTTCAAAAAGAATGAATAAGCTGTAGGGGGAAAGTGTTATACAAAACTCTAGTCATAAAAGTAGGGAACAGTTTTTTTGTTTTTAAACAATCTTCTGTACCTTCCTGTACACAAGCAGTAATGTGACTTTGGAAACTTTTTGTGGTCAAACTTTTTGCTTTATGTTTATTTACTCTTTGGGCTTGATCATATTCTCCTTAAGCGACAATATGCCCATTGACTTGAATGGGAGTTTTGCTTGCCTGAGGAGTATGTGTTTGGTCGCTTTGACAGTGCACTGACCAGTTTAGTTAATCATTGCATGCAGGTGTTGTGTATTTTGTTGAGAAGTAAAAAAATATTTGAGCGAGCTGTTCGTAAACAATTGTAAATGCAGAGTAACTCCCAGGGAAGTCAGCAGAACTCCTTTGATTTCAGTGGAGTTACTCAGATTTAATCCGTTAATTTGTGTCCTGCTCATTTTTATGACTTAGAAGAGAAGATGTGCAGAAAGGAATCCTTTTGAAAGGATGTCTGCTTCATATTCCTCTTAGATGTTTGTAAATAAATAAAAACTATTTTCATACCACTGATTCTGTTGCTGAATTTCCTAAAGCATCTTTCTGTTGTCTTGTTGATCTGTATTGTATTTCTCTATATGAACTAGACTGAAGAAAATGTGTGTGGATTAAAACATTTGAATCCATTTTGTTTGTTCCATGTCCATTCACAAATCTGAACATCAGCTTTCAAAATCTGTAATAAATTAGTGAGAATATTTGACACCTACCGGTAACTTTGTGTGTACTTTTTTGTACTCTGAAGTAAGACAAATATGTTATTTGGTGAACACTAAGTATACACTGTTTTTTACACAACACAAACATGAGGTCCCTGACCTAAGGAGCACGCACACAAAAGAGAAAAGATGGGTCACCCTTAAAATTCAAGACTGTAGATAATCAGTAAGGAGCTATGATCATAGAAGGATTTTAAGACTTCTTGGTATCGTAATTTATCTGTTATAACAGGTGATGATACTTAAATAAAAACTTTCCTTATGATTTACCCTTCCTCTCCCAATTCTTTTTAACAAAAATACCCTATTTTATTCCTTATGTAATTAACATTTCTAAAAGATGTTGCTGGTTATTTTCCTTAGTGAAATTGCCAGCTGTGATGATAATTCCTAAAGCTGCTGTGATGAAAGCATTTGCCATGTTTTCCTGTGGGTGTCCATATTCTTCTGAAGTGAAGAAGGCATAACCTCATGTATCTTGTAAGGCTTAAGAATTCCAGCTTGTTCTTGACACTCCAAGCCAGCCAGCCCCCCCCCCCCACTAGTTAATTGACAGATTTAACACCTACACAGCAGCTATAAACCCGCCAGTTCTAGCCTCAAGAGTTCCCTCTGCCTAGGGGAAAACTCAGGTGGTATAAAGCTGCCGTAGTAGATCCAGCTCCCTATACCCTCTCTGTACTGCCTTTGGTCTGGGGGTGTGGTTGGAGCAGGGTGGGCTTAAGGCCACCTTTGCCCCCTCTCTCTCTCTCCACCGCCCCATCCCCTTTATCTTTGCAGAGTACAGCTCAGCCACGGCACTGAATTTGGCCCATCGTTGTTACTATGTTTTTCACTTGACCTTTCATCACATGATCTGCGAGCACTTCAATAAATACTGGGCCATGTCAGTCACTGGTGTAACACTGTTGAAGTCTATAATTTTTACTGAAAAAGCAGGACCATAATTTACACAGCCCTGGAATTTACCCTGAGGGTGAGCTTGGCTCACCGAAGAACCTGTTTCCATTGAAGTAGAATGAAAGTTTTGCCATTGCCTTCTTGAGAACAAGTGGGAGACTGTAGTCTCTCAAACCATGTTTTCACAGATGGGGAAACTGAGGCACAATGAGATTAGTTACATGACCAAAGCCACATAGTGAGTCCGTGGCAGTCGGAATAGATCGCAGGCCCAGGATTTCTTGTTTCAACCCCTAGCCCAAATTGCCACTTTTGGTAATTGTTGAGGGTGGTCTTGATTGATTTTAAGAAGATTAACTTCTAGGAAGGGGGTTTTTTTATTAAAAACTATACTGTTTTTAAGGGGCATAATGTTTAATATGTAATGAAAGAGGTGCAGGGCCTCAAGCAATTTTTTTATGTTCCTTTCAAGCGGCAACCCCAGAGGTGCCAGGGCTGTGAACTGCCAAGCCCAGAGGTGCCGGGGCTCAGCCCTGGCAATTTCTGGCACAAATTAAGCCCGGCGTTTAATGCTTTGCGTTTTCTAAAGAGCTGATGGTAGTTTTATGTGGTTTCTTCAGTGACGGCAGGTAGAAGAGACACTTGTTTTGTGTGGCAATTTAAAGAGAGGGGCCCTGTAGTGTTTTCGAAAGGGATAAAACTCTTTTTACTGCATTTTAAGGGGTCATTGTCTCTGGTATTTCACATAGAGGTAACACTAGATTTGTGTGGCCTTTTAACGGGTGTTTTTCTTGAGACTACTCCAGGGTTTGAATGGTAATAAAGATAAACTGCCAAGCTTTTTTTTTTTTTTTAAATTGTTTTAAGATTCCCAAGTCATTCACAGAATATTTCAGGGGATCTAAATTACACATTTTTTAATATATTTTAATACAAAACATGGAAATCCATGTCATCCTTAATTTCTTACCTGCTGTTTACCTGGGTTAAAATTCTGAATTTCATCTGCAGCGGGGGCAACAATAAGTTTAATAACTAACCAGCTATACTCCCGGGTTTCCAAACAGGAAACTTCAGGCAAGGTCCTCAGCTAGCGTAACTGCATAGGAGGATCTGGCCCCTTGATTTTCCCAGGAAGCTCTTCTGAGTGTACTTTCTTTATTTTTATTTTGACCAAAACTAGAGAGAAGACAACAACATTCTAAGCTCCACGGATGGGCCACCAGTCCTAGTACTATGAAAGTACTCTCAAATATCTATACAATTTGATGCTTGCAAAGGGATGTCAGTTTTCAAGGAGATATGGGAGAAAGTGAACATCACAATTGGAGATTTCTGTTAATGTTACACAGTCTTTAAATATGGGGATTGCCTTTCAAAGAGTGATTTTCTGTAAAATGAAAATGAAGGAGGAGCAACTTAAAATGTTTTCCTGGTGTGCATTTACTAATGACTTTAGCAGGAGGGAAAGTCTTGATTTGTTTTTGATCAGCCCCTTAAGTGCTAATGATTCCTGGTCTCTGGGGGCCAAGGATTTGTAAATCCACCTACCAGCCTCAGACAATGTTTTGTCATGACCCGTGTTCATATGAAGGTGATGAAAGAAAAAAATCTTGAGGACAAGTCAATAAAATAGGCACAGAGCTCTTAGTGGAAAGGGACAGCAGACCCACCGCTTCTGGAAGAGGTTCAGAGATCAAGTGACTCAATGCTTTCTCCTGACGGCAGCAGATGGGCTGCTTTGGGTGTGGAGGCCTTTGGACTGAATAAATCCTCCTAGGGGGCCACTTCATCATCATGTCAGTTTCCTCCCAAGTCCTCTCTTTTCCACATCCCCACCCTGACTGACTAGCACAAAGGCAGGGAGCTCCAGTATCTTAACTCCTATACTGTGTTACAATCGGGCCTTTTTAAAGACTATTTGCATGTTGCTTTTTACTCAGGATGGGCTCAAGTCATATATATATTCAGCGGCTCTTTCCTTAGATGCCTGAGACAGTCGTTCCACAGAAGCTTGACACTATTCACACAAGATCTTATTCAAAGATGCCAATTTTTCTTTGCCTCATACTTTTAGTAATATTTTCACACAATGTACTGAAGTCAACTATAGATCTACAATATCCAGGTCTTTTAGATCCACTGTCACATACATTTTGGCTGAAAGCTTTCTCTAGGTGGAGAATATTATGAGTTCAGAACCTCATGAAGATGAAAGCAAAGCCCAAGGATTTCAAATGAGTGCATAAAGTTAGGCTTCTAAATAAATGATCACAATAGTGAAATGCTCAATACAATCCGATCTCTTACTTAGGGGTCTAAAGAGGGATTTAGGAGCCTACCTTTAGACTTTCACTTTTAAAAGTTTTGACCTAAACACTGTGCTGCCCTTGATTTCTGGAAGCCTTTTTTGCAATGATTACATTTCCCCATGTGGAAGGAAAAGCTTGTGGTGGAAGTGCAAAAGTCCCAAATCTCTGCATGCAGCTGTAGAAAATACTCTGTTAGCAACAAGGTAACAGATGGCCTGGAAGGCTTAGTGACCATGGGCTCTGTCTCATTGAGAGGAGGAAACAATACCATGCACATCTTAGCATGTGCCACCCAGCAGCCTTCAGGCACATTGTCCTCACCCTAGTGCAAAATCCCAATTCCATGCTTAAGAGCTGCAGAAAAGAGCGCCAGTCTCCTAAAGCTGCAAAAGAGCTGCTCCCCGTGTGGCGCATGGAAAATTTGGAAAGGGCAATGCATATAGAAATCTAATTATTGGCAGGCACAGCCCAGCGTTTAGCGGGATAATCGCAGGGCCCTCATGCTTTCCTGTGCATGGACCCCTGAAAACAAAAGTTAAAGCTGTTGAATTCCATCAATCATTCAATGGTCGCTTGCATGACGTTGACATGATTGTGTGGTTTGGTCTTAAATTGCAGTGAGAAAGGGTTATTAATCACTTTAAAATATTTTTAAGACCAAGGGGGGATTGTCTCCCTGGTTAGCTATAATGAGAGGCAGAAAGGGCTAAGTAAATATACTTCCTGTGATATCTAGAGGGGCGTAGAGCTCCCGGTTGCGCAATTATCTTTATTTCCCACTGGGCAACACAACGCCCTGCCGAAAACCGCTGCAGTCTAGCTCAGGGCCGGAGTCACTCCACCGTGCTCTGCGGGCCAGGCTGATTTACACCAGCTGAGGCTCTGCCCCTTGGTTCCTAAATCTGCTTTCCTGAAAACGACGCTCAGCCGTTAGTGCTGTGAGCAAAGCTTGAAGCCCGCGTGCGGCAGCGGCTAGAGAACTCGTCCTGCTCGGAAACCGGGTGCGGACCGTGTGTCTACACGGCTGCGGTCGTGCTCGGGAATACGCAGCGGCGCGACCGGGCCCCAGGGGAGGGATGGGGTTGGACTCCAGCGGGTGGAAGCAGCTTTATCCCAACGCCGCGGGCTGAACTCACCTCGCCGGCTGCCCCTTGGAGCGGTCCGGGCCTGGGGGGGAGACGGGCTGCATGTCCCGCTGCTGGGCGGGCAGCCCCGTTTCGACAGCTCGCAGCAGCCCCCGGAGGAGGCTGGACGGGGGCGCCTAGCGAGCGCTGCTGCCTTCCCTGCCCGGGTGGGGGGGTGAGTCGGCAAGGCGGGGAGGGGGGCGCGGTGAACCTGACCAGGCGGCAGGAGCCCCCCCCCCATGCACCCTCCACAGCTGGCCCTGCCCCCCCCCCCACATCCAGCGGGGGAGGGGGGGTGGTCATTTGCTATTGCAATCAGTTCTGCTGCCCCGAGCCAGGACTGATTGCCGCCATCCCAAAGCCAAAGAGCCACTGGGGGGGGGGGGGAGGTGTCCCAGCAAAGACCCCCCGCCCCCTCCCCGCTGCCCAGCTTTATAACGCGGCAGCCCCAGGCCAGGCAGCAGCGCCGCGCGCCCGTGCTCTGTCCCGGGGGCTGCAGCCAGCGCGTGCGGGGCTCTGGGGCCGGGCTCGGCGGCGTCCCCCCCCAATGTCCCTCGGGCGGCTGCTGCTGCTGCTGCTGGCGGGGAGCGGGCTGGAGCCCTGCGCCGCCGACCGCTGCAGCTGGAAGGGGAGGTAAGAGCCGGCCAGGGGTGTGCAGAGCCCGGGCCCCAGGCGGTGGGGAGCCCCCAGAGCCGCGGGAGGGGGGAGGGATTGTCTGGCAAATCCCCCCCCCATTTGCTAGACATTTTTTCCACCCGCTCCTCGGCTGGAAGAGGGACCCGCCTGGGTTAGGGGCTCGGAAGCGCAGCGTTGGCCGGGCTCCTCAGGGGGACGCCGCCCGGGCTGGCGAGGTGCTGCGTAGCCCCGGCTGTCTTATGCCCACTGCTGGCGCGTCGCCTGCGAGGTCTGTGCGTGACGATGGGGGAAACCGAGGCACGGAGCCGCAGCGTGAGGTGTCTGCGGCCACCCAGCGAGTCAGGAGCCCGGCGCGCCAGGCGCCCGGTCCCGCGTTTCAAGCTTTTTGCACCCAGCGCGGGAGCAGGCCAAAGCAGGCCAGGGCTCGAACAGCAAGGCGGGCACTAATTAGACAGCGAGAACAGGCCTGCCCTCTGTTTCGCTTCTCTAATGGACGCCTGAACCCTGACAGCAGAAATATGCATCAGACTGGCTTCCAGGAGCCCCAAAAGTCAGTCTGGTTTACCATGGGGTGTCAAAAAGAAAAGGAGGACTTGTGGCACCTTAGAGACGAACCAATTTATTTGAGCATGAGCTTTCCTGAGCTACAGCTCACTTCATGGGGTGTCAATCTGTGTTGAAAGATTTTTCTCCTAACAAATCAGTGTGTCTTCCATGTCAAATGACAGGACGTTACAGAACTGGTGGGAAATTTTCAACGCTATTTTTGTCATAATTTTGAAGGAAAACAGGGTTGCAGTTTTTCACAAAAATTACGAAATTGAACTTTTTAGCCAGCTGTGGTAATAAAGAGACTAGGCCTGATTCAGCTCGAAGCGCCGTGTGTTATCAAAAGTAACTCCAAATTAATGAAATTCATAGAACATCAGGGTTGGAAGGGACCCCAAGAGATCATCTAGTCCAACCGGCTTTGTCCCAGATCCCTAAATGGCCCCCTCAAGGATTGAGCTCACAACCCTTGGTGTAGCAGACCAATGCTCAAACCACTGAGCTCTCCCTCCCCCCTAAGTGCACTGAGGTAAAGCTGGTGTGAAGAAGATCCAAATCAGGGCCAGCCTACAGCTCGTTGTTGAGAAATGACTCTTCAGTATAAGCTTTCGTGAGCTACAGCTCACTTCATCGGATACATTCAGTGGAAAATACCACTGAATGCATCCGGTGAAGTGAACTGTAGCTCACGAAAGCTTATGCTCAAATAAATTGGTTAGTCTCTAAGGTGCCACAAGTACTCCTTTTCTTTTTGTGGATAAAGACTAACACGGCTGCTACTCTGAAACTCTTCAATAGTTGCTACTGGTAACATTTTCAAAGTCCACCTGACTTGGGCATTTTCAAAAGTGACTTAGGCATTTGGGCACCTAATTCTCATGGAAAGGCATTAGGACTTGCTCCGAGGGGTAGGATTTTCCAAAAGGGCTAAGCATTGCTCCCACTGAAGGCAATGGGAAGTTTGCCCTGGTTTGGAATGGGGAACAGGGCTAGGTCAGCGCCGAGCACTCTTAAAAACTCTACTCTACTTCTAAAAATGGGACATAGGCTTAGCGTCGAAGATGCAGTGTGGGCTCTGAAGCCTGGGACAAGAGGCGGGTGTCAAAGTGCTGTCTGCACAGCTATTCTTAGAGCCCCATTCCACTCTGCCGGCCCCGGGCTGGGAGCCTCCCGGCCACAGGCTGTGGAGACGTACTCTGAAGCACGTTTGAAAAGGTTCCCTTACATCTGTTACCATGCAACTTGCCACAGAAGCGGCTCTCCTTTAGTAGCTGCCACTAGAGAACTAATTATATGTAGTAGTAATAATCATTAATAATGGAGACCATAAGTCTACATCCAGTTGTTGCTGTAAAAGACTTTTGATGCACACTGCTGTCTCTGCTTGAAAACGGGGTGAAAATAGGCTTGTAGGGAGCAATCCAGCAGTGGCCAGGAGATAGACGAGACTTACAAATCATCCAGGCTGGCTCTGACTCCTGAGGCTCATTTCTTTCCCTGTTTCATGTACAAAACAAGGGGCTTGTTATTTATTATGTGTATTCTGAAGCCCAGCTGAGCTGGGGGCCTTGTTGTTCTAGGCACTGCACACATAAAGAGACGGTCCCTGTCTGGAAGCGCTGGCAATCTTGAGCTGCAAGACAAAGGGTGGAAAGGGAAACAGAGGCACAGAGCAGTAACATGGGTTACCCCAGATCACGAAGCAGGTTAGTGGCGGGTTAGGGAGTGACCTCACTCTGCTGACTCCCACTAGCTTGTGCTGCCTAGGTGTTGTTCATTATTAATGATGTATTTTTGGCCTTGCCTTGGCAGTGGTTTAAGTTGGGAACCCCGTTCCCGCACCGTGGAGCAGGTCCACCTACGCTGCACCGAGGGCTCCCTGGAATGGCTGTATCCAGCCCGAGCCCTGCGTGTTGTCCTGGAGCCCAACTTGTCGAGCACCAGACACACCACGGTCTGCATCAAGCCAGCGAGTGACTTCCAGGGTGCCAGCATCTACGTGGAGCGCGCCGGGCAGCTGCACCTGGTGGTGAGCGAAGCCGAGGAGGCGCGGCTGCGCCACGTGTCCTGTTTCAGTGCCCACACGCCACAGCGGGTCGCCCTTTTCCTGCAGGCTAGCCCACAGAGGGATATCAGCCGCAGGATGGCCAGCTTCCAGTACGAGCTGCTGAGCAACCAGAGTGCGGCGGGCCCTGACTTCCAGAAAATGGCCCTTGTGGAAGGTAAGGCTGAGATCGCCCATAGGCCCCGAGCCTGCAAATGGATCTACTCAGGTCACCCCCTGCAGTGCTTGATCCACTTCTGTAGAGGTCCCATACTGGTGCAGGACTCCATCAACAGGGAGCCAATTTCATGAATGGGGTTCCTCTTTGCAGGAGAGGGATAATCGCTTATCTGTGAACCCAAACACCTGCCCTTCTCCCTGCTCCCCTTGTTAACACATCACATTGATCATGGGAGATGTTTACAGCACGGAGTCTCTCGAGCTACCCTGTTCAGAGCTCCAAAAGCAGGAAACAGAACAGATTTCAGAGTAACAGCCGTGTTAGTCTGTATTCGCAAAAAGAAAAGGAGTACTTGTGGCACCTTAGAGACTAACCAATTTATTTGAGCATGAGCTTTCGTGAGCTACAGCTCACAAATTGGTTAGTCTCTAAGGTGCCACAAGTACTCCTTTTCTTGATCCAAAGCCCATTGAAATCAATGACTCAGGCTACTCTCCTCACACACTTCACCAGTCTGTTAGCAATCATTATTGTACTGATCAGTAACTGATTCTTTTGTTCTTTAGCGATGTGCCGTCCTTGTGACAACATGGAGCTTCTGATGGCCATTTGCAGCAGTGATTTTGGTAAGCAGACTTACAGGAAAATATTCTGCCTCTAATTATGCATTGATTATTTCGTTTTATTGCCTCTTCTTTAAATACCGTGATCGTCTTGCTCTTCAATCTGGGAACGCCACTCGCTTGTGTCAAAGAATGAAACGTAAAAAGATGGGATAAATCAGAGCTGCAGATCAAACACAGTGAATCTAGGCAGGTGGGAAGGCAAAGTAATTTTTTTTTCTTTCCACATACACTATACACACTCCCTCTTCGGCATGAAGTGTTTTGCTGGAATCATTTTGTCACAGTCCCCTTGTCTTTCACTTTCTGATAGTTTTGCACATGCACACACATGTACAGCAGAAATATTCTTTACTTACCTTCCATCTAATTGCACAGATATGAAGAATTTTGTAAAATCCCAATTTATGCAGGCTGGCTTTTTCCAAACTGATCACAACTTAAAACTGCTGTAATGATGGTAGAGCAATCCTTGTGGGAACTGTTCCTCGCCATGTGTTTCACTGTGGGGCTGTACCCAGGGCTTAAATTCAGCCGGAGTTGTCCGGAGCGGAGCTCTGGTAAATATTTTCAACCCCCGTGGAGTTTTTACAGCATGTTGGTGGCTCCAGGAAATACTCTATGAGAATTAAAGCCCTGGCTGTACGTTCTACCCCCTCATCAAACTTTCCCAAAGTGAGTCTGGTTATAGATGCAACCTCACACAGATATTGTAGAACATCAGACGCAAACAATGTTAATGGACCTGATCCTGCACCTGTGGAAGTCAATGGCAAAACCCTAATTTCCACTGCCCTTGATCAAATTAAAAAAAAGAGATATTTTTGAAAACCATTGATGCTGCTATGCCTCAAGGAGATCCTTTATCCTTGATAAACTCAGTGGGTGCAACCTTGAAACTGAAGCCAAATCAGAAATAGTTCCTGCTACATAATGCCAGTTCTTGCACATGACAAGGTCACAGATACATTTATAGTTGTCCTTTGTACATTCCCTTTCATTCAACTCTTTTTTCTTTCATATCGTGCGCTCAGTGGTTTACTATACTTAGCACAAGTACACACACACACTCTCTCTCTCTCTCTCTTTCTCTCTCTCTCCCCTGCTCTGGTTACTGATGGAGTCCATTGTTTGTGACATAAACTTAGTTGCATGAGAAGATTTACCCTTCATTAATGACACCATCTTTCAGCCCCAACCTAGCACATCCCGTTTGAGAAAACAAATGCATTAATATGCTATAAAGTAATAAATAGGGGAAACCCTTAACATGATGCTGTAGCAAAGGCTTTATCTCCTTTACTTCATCTTGCAAAATCTCTACTGATCTGTTACTTCTCAGTATTGTCTCTTGCTCTGCAACATGTCTTTTTTTGTTTTATTGCACTGATTTTTCCTTTACACACACAAATTATACCATTGTAATTACACTCGTCTAGTTAAAGCCGTACAACCTCCCTAATGTGGACACAGTTAAATATGCTCATAGCTAGGATTGGCAGAATTCAATTTTTATTTTTTTCATAATTCCAACAGATAATATCAGTGTTTATATTTAAGCTTTTTTCAGTTTGTATCCATTTAAATGTTCAGTTGTGCAAAATTACAGATTTTAATTATCTTTATTTTTATCAATTTAAACTTTCACAGTTGTGGGAACTTATGTAATGAAATCTATTTAATGACAGTAGACATTGAGATTCAAACGTCAAAGGTTTCTGGCCATTAAAACACAAATTGTCTGTGTTGCATATTAAAATATCCAAAGGAAATAGCCTTACATCAAACTTCAATAAATTCTCAAGCCGTGCTTTTTTTACTTTGCCTAACTGTAAATTTTGATGATCCTGGATGGAAATATTGTGTCAGTTTGTGTGTGTGTGTGTATGGTGAAATCAACATTTACCAACACTTACTGATAAAAATTGACTCCTTTCAAGCCTACTTATAAGCTCTAGTGATATAAGACGTCTTTGTAGCTGTATAACTACATCCATTCTAGGGGTTGTCCTGGGAGAACTATATTGGCATATCAGAACAAAACTGAATGCAGCCCAGGTCTTACCATGAAAGTGTATTCCTGTGCCAATCATCTTTCTTCCTCATTTGAACTAATTGATGCAATCTCCCCCATTGTTTCTACTTGATGAAGTTATCAGTTCCCATGCAAACAGCTCTCCCTCTGCGCAGTCTGCAGCCCCAGAGACTGACAGATGTGGAGGCCCAGGGTGCACAATGGGGGGTATTTATACTTATAGCACCATCAGACCAGAAGAAATAGCCCTTTGAACGGACTCTATTTATGACCTGACTTCCTTGCCCTACGCTCACAAATCGCTATCATCAACTTTTTTGATTAGAGAAAATAGCTGCTAATGAAAGTGTAAATGACACCATGAGTGAATGGGGGCTTTATGGTTTGTCTTAAGGCAGAGGTCTTCAGTCACTAGGCCATGAGCCGTGCAGGAGCGACTTTGAGGAACAGGAACAAGTGCATTATAGCTTGTCAATAGACTTGACTGCATCTGATTAAAGATGCTCACACAAAGGAGATGAAGAGCAGAGCGGAGACATCTGTTGTGCTCAGCCCTTGCATCCCTTGAAAATTAAATTAGCTAAGGAAGTTCCTGGACTTTTCAGAAATAAGCTCTTTGTGCCTCTTACACTAATGAGACCATTATCCCCAAAGGAAAGAGCTGATGGATATTTTGCAAAGTTCCAGCTAAATGGGTAACCTCTCATTTGCTCAGGGGCTGTTGGCAGAATGGTTGAGGGTCGCTCTTTGCGCATTCCCTGTATTTTGGATTCAAATGGAATTTGTTCTTGAAGAAATGTAATATGAAAAGTCAGTTCCCATTGATTTTTGGGGGGAAGTGGGGAACGGAGAGGAAGATTTCACATCGGCAAATAACAGGCATAAGTTTTGCAGCTGTGAAATGGATGACATTCTCTGTGCTGGAGACACAAATGATTAAACTTATTTAGGCCTTTATTCTATTTTTATTTCTCAAACCAGCTTTGCTAGTTTTTACAGGTGGAGTGGGTTGTGTGCAAATGGCATGATTTAAATGAGGCATAAAGGTTTCTGTTGCTCCGAAAAAAGGGACTGAATACGTACGCTGGGGAAAATGGAGGGTTTTGTCAGTAGGAGACAAAATTAGGTGTGTATGCACACTAGGCTGTGCTGAAACAAAAGGGTGAGGTTTTCTGGTACACTTTTCTAGAGTAGACCAGACCCAGGGTCCCAGTCCTACACGAGCATGGACCCTGCATCCACAGAAGGGCCCCCTGGAATTCACCAATAGCGTCCAACAGAACACAAATCATTACACATTCAGAGCGCTGCGTAATAACAGTTCCCTCTATTTTATTTTGACTTCCAGGTCTAGTTTACATTAGGCCAGATCCTCAAATGGCATAGCTGCATTGACTTCACGGGGGCTGTGTCGCTTTATACCACCGGAAGATCTGGCCTTAAAATGTCTGTCTTGTTCACTAGTTTTTAATTTATTTTTTATACAAGAAGATTTCATATTGGGCAATACATTTTTTTAAAAATTGAGTGCCCTGTAGTCCTTATGGAGGCAGAACATGGCTGCAGATTGAGTCTGATGACGACAAATCAAAACTTTGTCAAAACAAGGCTACTGATCAAATTATGATTGGGGTGAATTTTTGATTGCAGTCTAATATCTGGCCATATTTGCACTGTAGGAATGAAATAGCTAGCTTTAGTTTCCAATTTTTTTCTGATCTTCTATGCTTTACCAGTCATGGTGTTCTCTGAAGAAACCTGAAATAATACAGTACTGTAGAATCAAAATGCTTTGTACTGGAAATCCAAAAGATAAATCAATGACCTAACAAATGGCTCTCGATTTATGATCCATGGAGCATCAGGGGTCTTCATCTGGGGCTCTGAGGGAAACACTTCAGCTGCATTTGCACTGGTACCTATCAGTGCACCTCTACCACTGGCAGCAACATGAGAAATGGGAGTGTAGACAGAGCCCTGTTCTGAGTCCTGTCCACACTACTACTTCCAACAGTGCTTCAACTGGTGTACAAAGGCATAGTGGGGACTTGAAGTGATGGTCCATGACAGGGTCACTCGCTGGGAACAGAGACTGAAAACATTTAGGGAACCCTTGAACTAGCCTGTCCTTGTATGTTGGTGCACACAGCTGCTGTGTTGTACCCCAGAAGTGGCTGCATGTCAGCAAGTTCTCAAACAGGTAATTAATTGTACAGTGATGTGGAACCATCGGTATAAAAGGTGCTAAGTAATATCAGAAAATTAGTCTTTCTAGGGAAAAATGCACTGAAAATATTATAGTAGCTGAACTCTTTATCAGAAACAGCTGTGCCATAACCAACTCACTATTCATGTCATCTTCACATCTAGTCGTGAGAGGATCGATCCAAAATGTTTCCCATGACCCTGAAAATCACATGTCCCAGGTTGAAGTCAGCGTCCAGAAAGTCTACAGGCAGAAAAACAAAATTTTCCGACAGGACGAAGCAACTGGTGAATGGAGGGGCCCCATAAAAACCCTGCTGCAGTGCAAGGTAAAGAAAGGTGCTGGAGATTTCCTGTTCACTGGCAATGAACATTTTGGAGAAGCTTGGCTGGGCTGTGCCCCTAGATTTAAGGACTTCAATTCTATTTACCAAACAGCCAGAGACAGGGGAACAAACCCATGTGAGTTTCAGTTTAGCTGAAATGCATGTTACAAGAGCGCTGACTAAAGGATTGCAGCCCCGTGTTTGGGTGCTGTTCATGAGGTGCAGCAAAGGCTGAAGACAGATTTCACTAGAGCTAGGGCTGGGAGAGCCTCTTGGAGTTTATGACTCTATGAACCTCTCAAACCAGGACAGTGAGGCTGCAAAATGGTTGAAATTCATGAAGTGCTTTGCTTATAATTCAAATACAGGTGCCTCTCCTGCCTCCAGGGGACCTTCTGATTTTTTAAGGGGCTGCTTTTCCCCCCTAGCTGAAGAGTAGCCTGTGCTGAGTGTTAGAGGTAGGAGATGCCTCACAAAATCTAGGATGCCCTAAGTGGGTGTCCTATCTGTTTTGTATTTTTCATTAGCTTTTTTCTCCCCTATTCTCCCCCCACTCTTACTTTTTTAACTCTGTGCTTCCGTTTTCACTCGGTAGATTCCCTCCCGCCCACATACAGTAAGGAGAATGCAGACTCAATGACATTGAGAGTTTGAGTTGAACTACTAAGCCCACAGCCTATCAGTGGGTTTGTCAGTTTCCTGCGGTTTCTCTCTTGGGAAGTTACAGTTCAGTAGAACACATGCAAACTAAGGCTCTGGGGCATAAGCTCAGCTGCTGTAAACCTGTATAGCTCCCAGGACTGCACCAGTTTATAGCAGCTGAAGGACCTTGGTGTAGATAAGGGCTGTTGTGGTGATGATCATCACCTTGGTTAACATGAGTTACTAACATGATGAATTGTCCCAGTTCAGCCAAGCCCTATAAGAAAGGTACAGCAGGTAAAAACTGTTTATTTCAAGGCGAGTCTTGCATGGTTAGCCCCCCCACCATGCATTTTAATCACAACTCACTGTAAGTAGCAGTCGATGTGTAGAAAGTGTTCCAGTTGAGACAGAACCGAAGGTTGTGCTGTATTGAAAGAGGTGCAACGGATGTCCTGTTATTGAATCTAATCTTCCTGTTTGTTCAATATTGTGATTAAGTAAATGAACAATGCTGTTAACGTTTGCACTGTGAACTTTGCGCAGCTAAAACGAAGAGAAGTTTTGAGGAACTTAAGTTTCAGAGACAGTTGCGGGCATCCCAGAGTCGGCACTCACTTGCTCTTCTGAAAGTCCGTGCCCCCTGAATATCATTTGTAAGAGTGGGCTTGTCTAAAGGGATAGTGTTATTTGGTTGGTTTTTTAAAGTGCAGTCCACATTTCCCAGCTGTACTTTGCACTTTCAAACATTGTGTTTGCTGATCACCTATGTACTGTATTTGACTGTTTTGTATATTTGGGAACAAAATTGTACATGCTGATCTTATACATGATTGTGTATTTGTTTTGCCTATGAGTACAAAAGCCCTTAGCTGTATCTCAGCACCATTACCTGGAAAATAAAATATTTTGTTTTCAAAAGCTTGAGGATAGATCAACATTACTTTAGTAACTTAGTCTTTCAGAAGAACTTGTAGCTACATGGTGTTTTACGGAGTGTTAGGTGTTTTTAATGATCCACTATGAAATTAATCTGGGTACAAGGTATGTACATATAAAGGCCTGCATATCAGATAATATAATATATAGTTTTGCAGGGCCTCACCACTCTTGAATTTAGCAACCCGAACCACCCACAGGCTGACAGAATAATGAACAACACATGAGAGATCGTGCATGTTGCCTGTGTTCCTATTCCAGCCGTGCTACACTCTACACCCATTGCACTGCATTAAGAGAGATCTAAGGTCACGACTATCCAAAGTAACAGGTAGAGTTGGTTGACATTTTTCAAATTTATTTTTGTTGTTTGGAGAAAGAAAAAGAAAGAAAGAAAGAAAAGGTCTTTTTTGGGAAATTGAAAATGTTCCCAGCGTTTTTATATAAAAATGTATAGATCTTCCCCTCCTTCCCCCACAAAAATTAAACATGAAAAAAAATGAGGGCGGGTTTTCCCTTCCCCTCACCCCCTCTTTTTCTGGGGCAAAAAGGGGGAAGAAAAAGGAGCAGATACAAACACGGACAAATTTCACACCAGAAACTAAACATGCAGAATGCAAGTTATTTTGAAATTTTTTTTATAAACTTTGCCGTGTTCGGCCCAGCTCTAGTAACAATTCAAGCCAGGTGCTAAACCAGAGATTCTCTGAGGTAAAGAACTTAGGAAAGAGGGAGCCTTGCAGCTAGAAGTTTCAGAGTAGCAGCCAGGTTAGTCTGTACCCCAAAAGGAACAGGAGTACTTGTGGCACCTTAGAGACGAACCAATTTATTTGAGCATCAGCTTTTGTGGGCTACAGCTCACTTCATCGGATGCTCATGAAAGCTGATGCTCAAATAAATTGGTTCGTCTCTAAGGTGCCACAAGTACTCCTGTTCTTTTTGCAGCTAGAAGTGTTAACTGCCCATATAGTTGCTAAGTGATCCTGTAGCCGTTGTAATGAGTGATGCCTCAGCTAGCACCCAGAATAGTCCTGGTGTAGTAAGCTTGAAATCAATTCCCTAATGTGCTTACACCAGGGCCAAGCATTTCAACAGCAAGATCAGCTTTTGATAGGGCCTCATGTTTAACAGATGGGCAAAATCCCTAATATTTCACTTTGGATAAAAGGGCCAGTTAAAAAAAACCTGCTACAATATGAAGTCAGACCATGTACATTCAAGACAAGGTAGACAGTCATTGGTCAAGTAAATAAGTCAAGTGGTTGCGATCAGGTCAGGACATTTGGATTTTGGCATCTTGTTTCTAAGGAGTCAATTTGGGAAAGCTAGAATGGCAGCCCACGAGGTTTCCTGAGCACTGATTCATTTCAGAGCATGGCAGAGACGATTTCTTTCCCTAATTTCCTACCTGACCCAGTTTCTGAAGGGTCATACCAAATCATAGTGTGTGTTCTGAAGCTATACTAGACTAAAAGGTAACGGGAAGACTTCCCAGCATTAGCTGGATTACCCCATGCATAATAGGAGCCAGTAAACACATTCATGTGCCCCTTATCGTCATCCTGACAGTAAGAGGTTATACAGACTTAGACAAAACAAATTATGCAAGCAGTTTGTAATGCCCACAACTTCATTATGTGAGTCACTTAATGTGACCCAGTTCACCCACAATGTGTTTGTTTGCTCTATTTGGAAAAGATGAGGCAGAGACTAATTGTGTGTCAAAGCCATAAAGCACTTGACACAGACAAGCAATGAAAAATGAAAGAAAGCAAGGTAGGTCAAGAACCAGGGAGCTATATAACATCATAGGTGAAGAGCTGGCCAGAAGTCATGCTTAATACATAGATGTAAGGTCAGCTGTAAGAAGCTGGCAATGGAAAGGCCATCCATGTAAAATCTATTCCTCTGCAAATTCCCCAAATAGCAGGTATACTGAAACCCTTGCTGAAAAGTCCTAATAGGGAAATAAGCAATAAGATCCTACAGAAATTATTCTAAAGCCACCTGTATCCTTTCTGGGAGCGTGTTGATCCAGCCTCTAAAATGGCACAGAAAGGGCATCATGCTCCTTGCAAGTCTCCAAGGTGATTAAAAAAATAAGCCTCTCAGAAAGGTATTTTTGATTACATTCTACAGGACTTTTCCATAAAGGAAAACATGCAGCAGCTTTAAAAAAAAAAAAAAAAAAGCTCCCCCACACCTATAAACAGAGCATGTACAAGTTTGTTTCAAAGTCTAGAATGTTCATAAAGGTCCGAGGCCCAAGCAGCCAAGCATCTGACCCCACATAAGATCTCCCCAACGGAAGGGCAGTGGTAGCTTTGTGTCTCCTACTTTGAAACAATATTATAGTAGCTGAGCTCGTGTTCTTCCACTGAAAGGGCCCCATTCTGTGAGGCGATGCACACCCCATTGATTTATATGGGTGGGTGATGCACACAGCATCTTGAAGAACTGGGCCCTTAGAATTAATCGTAGCAGTAAAAAAGGGGCAAACAAAAGGCAGCAAGTGCTACCAGGGCATGGGGGATACGCCAGATAGTTGGCTGGGGCCACAGAGGTGGCCCTTTTCCTCATCCACTCCAGGACAGGAAGATCATGGCACATGAATGCTCAGTGGCTGCCTGTTTCCCATCAGGCCCTCAGGATATACCACGGAATCCATGTGGGTAGTATTTTACCCTCCCCTCTCTAGCCAGGTGAATTAGACCCACTGCCTGCAAGTAGCGCTTTCCCCAAATTCAGAGACTAAGCTCTCCACCGAGAGCAGCTCCTCCCATTTTCAGACAGCAAATTCTCCCCCACGGAAAGAAAAAATCAGTTTACAGTTTTCAGGCTACCCTGATGCACCCCGTTGTGTGGGTAACGTTCACACGGGGAAAGGGTAAACCAGTCAGTCGGGCCTATGGCTTCAAGAGTGATTCATGATTTTGTGCACCCACCTTACCACACATTTAAGGGCCTGATTTTCAGAGGACTTAAGGCATCTCCAGGCACAGTGAGATATCCAAAAACGGAGACACCCAAAATTATCAGTCGCATTAGCAAATTTGGGCCTAGTGCAGATCCAATACAAGTGTAAAACATTCTTCTCATCACTGCTGGTGAAAACAAAGCAAGACTTTTTCTTTACTGTTCCTAAATTTAAACCAGTGGATTTTGTTTACTCACAGAAAGTGTGTTCTGCATGTTCCTCCCCACAATTGCATATCAGTCTTTTAAACTCTTCTAAGAAAGGAGTGACGCTGGCCTATAAACTGTCTGATTTGTAACATTTCATAAAGCAGCAGTGTTCTTTATGCAGCTAAACATTTGTTCTTTCCAGGACTTGAGCCTGCTCTGTAGATTCAGAATCAAAAGAGGGACAGAACATTTCCTTTGATTCATTAAAGAGACAAAAACAGCCTTGAGAATCTGTAATGAGTTTTTGAATGACTGGACCAACACCATCCAGTAACAAGCTCATGAATAGACTGCAGGGCCAAGATTAGCTTGTTGACCTCACTGGATTTGTGCCTGCTTACACCAGGGTGAAATTTGGCCCCTTCAGAGAGCAATGGATCTTTTTCTAATGCCAGTCGGACCTTTTCACGTACGGCTTCAAAACACAGTCAATTTTTAACGTTTCAGTTTCAGGGGATTGTGATCAGTTACATGAATACAGGTTGACTCATTTCCTCATAGGTTTAACTAAGTCCCACTTTCTAGACTGCTAAATTTTTCTTTTAAATCAAACCACTTAAGCGGCTCTGGTACTTTTTAGACCATAGCTCAAGGTTGTCAGTGTTTCTCTCAGCTCGAGGGAAAGGATAACAGCACTATTTGCATAGTCACTGTAACACCCTGATACTTCAAGAGATGCCCAGTTAGTAGCTATCATTTTCTGGTAGTTTAATGCCGCCAGTGAAAAGGCAGCATGGTCCAATGGACAGTGCCCAGGGCCAAGAGTTTGGAGACCTGAATTTTATTCTTAGCTGTGCCTGTGACTCAAGTTAATCAGTGGGAGGTAGGTCCCTTTAAAATCTGGCCCTTAACTTCTCTGCGCCTCACTTTCCCTACCTATAGTCAGGAGATTAATACTTTTACCTACCTCAGTGTAGCATTTTCAAGTGCTGCAGCTGAACAGGGCTAAATGTGACAAGGCTACAAATCTTGCAGAATTTGGCAAATTCAGGGTGAGAGGGTTAGAAGAGCTAAGCTGCTTCTACTAGAATAATTACTTCTCATTAACACGCTCTCGGCATTTTCATTCGGAACTCTTACATGCTGGGTTTTAAAACCTGCTCATACAAGTTCATTCTGAGCTGAGACTTGGCACATTCAAACTCAGAAGACAATGATGGTTTAATAAGTATGTTTATTTTTCCCTCTTCCCCAATTCTCATTCCACTGAAGTCAGTGTCAAAACTTCCACTGAGTACAAGGGAGCTGACTCAGACCATTCAAAACTTTTTAGGGAAAAATGCACTTAAAATACTATAGTGACGACCTTGGTATCAAAGTAGATAAAAGAGATTTACTAATTCTGTGCCTCTGTTTTTAAAAAAAAAAAAAAAAAGAGCCACCACATACTTCAGATTAATGCACCCTACAAAGGGTTAGGAACAAGACTTTAAGATGGAATCAGTTTTATCCTGTAGGAATACCTATGCTATGTTATCAGCACATCATCCCATTACAGGTTATAGGAAGGAGGAAGGATATTTTGCAGGAATTGTACCATGCCACCCAAAAATCTGCAACCTCTTCCAGTCCTTTTCGGTCTATTCAGTGCTGTCAGGATAATCTAGCAAAAGTTTTCTGTTTTTACCTTCCAGATACAGGGCTTTATGCAAGTAGTCCCGCTGCAATCACAAGGACAAGTCCAGGTTTGCAGAGTTAAGTCCAGGAAAAGTAATACCTCCAAGCTAGTTACATCCAAATGCTGAAAAGTGGCTGCACTTTGTGGATTCTCTCTCTCTCCCTTCATTAAAGCCATTTGATTTTTGAAATGAGAAGTATGTAACAATAACGCATTGAAAAATACAAACTTTCAATGAATGGAAAAATTTTAAGCGTTTAATGCACGCACACACCACCAACCGAGTCTGTTGCCTAAAATTCTGTTGAATCATTTTGGGATCAAGAATCGCTCACGTTGGCATTTTCACCTAAATTATCTGCCTCTTTTCAATTAGCTTTTATTATTTTAATGGTGGCTCCTCCCCCTGCAATGCTTTGGCCTCACTCCCATAATTGCCTATATTTTATGTAAATGGAATTGTTACACCGTAAAATGATATACAAATGTGTCTACCACACAAAGTCCAATAA